GTTTTTTAAGTGAATTTTAGGGTTTTTCCATAAAATTTTCTCTTTAAAACAATAAATGAACATGATATTCGAATTCAAAATGAAATTCTGATCTAGAATAACCCAAAAATCAACCGATTTCATCAATTTTGAGCCAAGTCTCATCGTTTTTCCGAAAGAGAACAACCGGGTCATTTTTTTTTTCACGTCAAAATTATTTCCACGTGGCGCATTACCGGGGGTATATAAACCGTGGAGCAGCCGAATCACGTCAGTTGGCGGTGTGAGCCGGTGAGCTACACTTCTCTCTCACTGGAGGTCCTCCAGAGAGAGGGGAAAAGCTCATCAGTTCCCAAGCCAAGGGTAGAGCCTGGACTCATCCGGGCTTCACCCGAACCGTCCAGAACGGTTGCATTCGAACTCAAGCCGTCCAGAACGGTTGCATTCGAACCCGAGCCGTCCAGAACGGTTGCATTCGAACACAAGCTGTCCAGAACGGTTGCATTCAACTTGAAATTGTTCAAAACAGTTACGACTTATCCAAACGATCTCAAGGAAAACCGAAGTACTCTGAACTGAATTAACAACATGAAACTAAGAAGATGAGAGGAAAAATAATAAAAAAATTTCATTAGAAAAATATAAAAAGCGGTTCAAACACTATATCCACATCTATCCGCAAATGAATGCAGAAATACCCGAAAGATTGTATCATTTCATAAGTTTTGAACATTACGTATGTTCAGCTTTTGTTAATAACATATAAAATTATAAAGTTGACTAATTCTGTTCAACATCTGAAGTGGCCTTCCGATATGTGTCGTCATCATGTAAAGACTCTGTTTCGAATGTACTAGCTTTATGATCACATGGAGATTTGCCTCTTGTTCGCATCATCACAGCATCCTGAAAAGATTATCCATTAAGCTTCTCAACCCTTCTTTCTACACACCGAGATTGTATCTGGTAATGGCAAATACTGTGTTTCTGGCAAAAACAACACAAGTACTCCAGCACATAAGGAAAATATTGCGAATATAAGCATAGGAACTGTTGCTAGCGTAACGTCACTCAAGATGGCTATATATCCAGAAGCTCCTGCTCCCATCCGAGCCATCTGAAAAAAAAAAACATTTTTGTAAACACACAGTTTTATAGTAGTACCATCGATGATATGCCGACAGCAGTGTTCCGAACTACAGTTGGACTGAGTTCAGAAGTAAAAATGTACAAAATATTAAAGGCTCCTTGTATGAAGGCCTTGCCCAAAAGCATACAGACGAGAGCTGTCTTAAATACATACATGTTAAGAAAGAAATATAACAAAGAACTGAACTGTTGTTTTTGATCTGATTGTTGCCCACATGGCAGCTAACAACAGCGTTCCTGCTCCTATCAAAGTGATCATTTGGGACCTAAGACAATTAGAAATATGATGAACATCTTCAAACCAACTTTTTTCTTCCATAATTTAGGAGGAAGACACAGCACACCAATGTGGGTAGTTCAATGGCGCCAGCAATAGCATTGTTCAAAAAAAAGTTTCCATCGAACACAGACCTAGAGCAAGAATTTTTCAACGAATGTATATCGTTAAAGCATACCTGCCCGGAGAAGATTGGTCTGATAAAGCAATAACCAAGCCGTAGTAGACTAAAGCTGTTGCTATCTGTGAATAACACAGATCAAACATCCAACATATACCGTACTTACCCAAACGATAAGTAGAACTATGTACCGGAAACGAAGTTCTGCTGTTCGAAACAGATGGAAGAATGTTGGTTGTTCACCCGTCTTGAGAATTTTCTGTTTTTCAGCATGGCGTACCTGAACTCATATATATTAGTAAACCAATTTTGTGATTTATTACCAGTCCCAGATCGCTTGGCAATGCTCGATTGTTGAGTATACAAGCTTTCCGTATGATAGGTTCAGCTTCTGTCACCTTGTCTTTCATTATCAACCAACTAAACTAGATTAGTGAGGAGAATGTTCGAAACAAAACTACCGTGGTGACTCGGGAACAAAGTACAGAAGAACAACACTCATGACATGGAGAATTACAGTTATTAACTAAAAATCTATATATAATCTATTAATCAAATGATATGTCACCTGGATAGTGTCCCAAGACTTTGTTAAGAACGCCACAAAAGCTAATAATGCATAGCCTAGAGCCCATGGTGCCTGCAGAAGTGACCCAACTATCGAACGATACTTCACACCTAGACAGATTATTACGAAGAGACTCAAAGTACAGTGAAATACCAGTTATCTCCATGCAGAGTACATAAGCTGCCAAATCAGCAGCTTCGTTACTAGCTGCGAGCAGGAAACGAATCACAAGAAACATCTCGAACTCAGGTGTGTATACTAAGCTAAGTCCAAAGATGGCAGAAAGGATGCTGAACCCGAAAATTGCAGTTTTCCTTCCATATCTGTCAGAGATCAAACGTATACCATTGAAACAAACAGTCACAGTACCTGTCACTAACAAATCCTCCCAAGAAACATCCGAATAGATATCCTAATGAATAACTTAGATGAACATGAGCACGGCTCCAGTTATTATCACAAACTCTATTCCATTCAGTCACAACTGTCTTTTTCATAACCTCAAGAATCATATTGAGTTAATGGATATTAGAATAAATCCAACAGATTGATCATATTCCCATTGACTACATGGCAAAGTTGAAACATCTGTAGAGAGGTTAAGCAAACTTGCCCAAGGTTGTGTCTGAAAGAAAGAGGTGAAGCGTCTAGCAGGATTCAGAAGAACCTTCAGATGAATATAATCTCTATCGTAATAATCACATTGAGAATGCCAATCTCTTTTCCTTTGCTTATTCGGTTTCTATAGCATGTACATGTTAAGATGATATGAAGGATAGTGCAACTGACCATTGGAAAAGCAACACTCGAATTGAGAATCTGATCCCAAGAGTAATCGACAGTTGATTCATTCCGAAACGAAGCCTCATTGAAATATGGAATCTAAGAGAGCAAATGCTTCCTTAAATCAATCAAATGTGATAACATACTTTACACCAATGATCTGGTTGATACATCATATAAACAACACTCAAATTGAACATGGCATGAGGAACCTATAACAACCTTCCTCATTTCTTTTATTATTTTTAGATTTTAACGAACCTGCTGTGCAGAAATGAATAAATAAACTAGAACTTGCCACCGATCACATCCTCCGATAACATCAAGAATTCCTTAATGTAAACAATGGTTGAATGGAAGCAGGAGAAAAGGGCAAAACCTTCAAAATCAATTGAGGTGACCTGTCGTGATTTCTTTTTCCCTTCAGCCGCATACTTCTTTTGCTTCTCATAATGCTGATCGCGTATCTCGATGGCACTTTTGCCGCTTAAACATCAGAATATAATTCGTGAATGAGGTAATATATGGAAAAGGGCAAGACAATGAATGATGTCTGCACCATGATCAACCGCTTCTCATGAGCTTACAAGTAAAAATGAAAAATACATTTATACGCAAGTTCACGTCATACTCATGACGATTTTTCGTGGAAAAATGTGAGAAAAGATAAAAATAGACAAAAAAAAGTTTTTCAACCCCCCGGAAGTGAGATTCACACTCTTGAACGAAGTAGTAGTGAAACAATATGAAGAGTTAATGGGAAACAAAGAGAGAGGGAGAGAGAGAGTGATAGAGAGAGAGAGAGAACGTTCGAAGAAAAAGTTAACTTACGTATTGATATTGATAGATGAAGAACAATCAAGATTATATTGGGATGTAAGTGGTGTAATATCAATTGAGTGATCACTAATCAAATGTTGCTGTGAATGCTGGAAATTAATTTAAAGTTGGTTATTGAATTGTTAACGTTCGTTCGTTCATTAATGAATGAATGAGAATGTGTACAAACAAACCTCTATAGGATTTCTATCTAAGTTGAGTGTTGGATCAGAATAAAGCAAATTGCCAGCTACTTGCCCTTGTTTGATATTCAAAAGATCTGTATCACTCTGAAAGAGGAATGAATGATTAGAGAGAGAGGGAGGAAGGTTTGATGAGACACCTGAACGAATTCGGGTTTGAGCAGTTCGTCATTCATCTTCTTTCATGTGCATTTCCTAGTTAAGATATGTAATAGATAGGCCTTAACAATAAGAAGAGAATTGGAGCATCAATAGTCAACCATAGAGAGAGAGAGAGATAGAGAGAGAGAGGGAGAGATGACAAAGAATAGTTTGAAAGAGAAAAAAGTGTTTTGTGAGAAAACACAAAGGTCTTAGCCTTCTTTAACATCTTAAGAACAGATAATAGCTGATAACTAACCATATGTTATCTTATAATCAAAATATGGCGATGAAGATTACATTTAATACATTTAATTACTTGTTAATTCTCAAAAAATACTCAAATTCCTTCAAAGATCAACTGATAAACGAGTCTAAATTTGTAAATGATGAGCTTAAGAGGTGAATAAGAGCATCTGCGTTCTCTCTCTCTCTCTCTCTCTCTCTCTCTCTCTCTCTCTCTCTCTCATTCATTCCCTTATTCCCTCCATACTACTACTACTACTACTACTTCACACAGCACATGCATACAGAAGAAGAAGAAGTGGTGGTTGTGGTGGTGGGGGGTAGAGGAATGACGACAGACGAGAAGACGAACATACAGCAGACAGTTTTATCTTTTAAATCGCTCAGATAAGAGTTGAAAAAGAAAAAAATCTCAAATTTTCATATATAAAGAGTTTGTGAGTATGTGTGAAGGGAGGGTGCATCGGAGGGGGGGACGAGGAAGGCTAATGAGAGAGCCAAATGTAAAGTCTTCGTCTTCGCAATTGATTGTCGAAGGTTTTCAAGGAGAACGGTGTGTATTTCAAATCCAAGAAATGGTCATGAATCAATGAGAAATCGAATGAAATGTGAAAGAAAATAAGAAATAAGTTGTTGATGATGAGATGATGAAGCCGACCGATTTCCATATTGGAAGTTAGTCCGGTTGAAGAAGTGGCAAGTTGAAGAGAGAGAGAGAGGTGGGGGGGGGGGTTGGTGAAAGAGGGAAGAGAGAGAGATAGATAGTCAGTCAGGCACAGCAGCTGATAATCACCAAACGAACAGAAACGATAATTTCCATCAAAAACTAAACGTTAAAATAATAATGAAAAAAAAAGGAAGAAAAAATGAATCATAAACACAAAAAAAGTGTTGAAAAGAAAAGAAAACACAGTATGAGAGAGAGAGAGAGGGAGTACGAGAGAGAGAGAGAGAGAGAGTGATCAAGAGATAGAGAAAGAGAGAATCAGTGAAATGTACGCACGTTGGACGCGTTTTTAACTTCTTTTACAATTACATCACATCCGTCGATGTTCATGCTTTCGCAGATCGTTTCTTCTTTCTCTTCTTCATCATCTTCAACTCATCATCTCCATCCTCATCTCTTTCAAACTTTGATTTTTGGAAGTATAATTGAGATTAACAAAGAGCAAATGTTTGAAAGAGAAAGAGAAACAGAAAGATCAAATAAATAGTCTTTCGTATAATTAAAGTTTCAAATGAGAATTTCAACGGAAACTTTGAGTGAAGCAAGTGCAAATGATCGGAACAGTTGTTGTTCCATATCGCATACCTGCTTGGCAGAGAAGCTCGAGAGGAAATAAGCTGGAAGAAGAGACATTTCTTCTTCTTCTTCTTCTTTAACGGTTTCGACGTAATGTTCCGACTGTTTGACGAAGCACAAACAATCAGATGCCAATCGTTTCCTCCTTTACTATTGTGACCGTCGACACGTTATCGTCTTCGTCGTCTCATAACTATGGCCGATTGACTGTCTCATGAAGCAAGCACCTTAAGAAGAGAGACCTCTCTCAACTATGTCACAATTTTGATAACATTCGTTGTAACTTAAGAAAACAAAACGAAACTGTATCATATCTATCGAAACTTCAATGTCGATGATGAAGAAATGGAAAAAAAAAAAAAAAAGAACAAAAAAAATCTTTTTAGAAAAGATATTCTCGCGCGCGCGTCATTAGAATCAACCGCTCTGTCCGTCTGCATCTATTCAGAATGAAGAGTCAAATAAGCATTAGGTATCACGTTTTCCACGTAAACCAAAAATTTGAAAAGAATTGAAATGAACAGAGAGAGATAGAGAGATAGAAAGAGAGGGAGAGAGGGAAAGAGAGACAAATAAGTACAATAAAGAATAACTTAGGAAGAAACAAAATATTTAAGCTGCTAAACATGATTACAGCCCATAAAAGAAGATCGAAACGATTGATAATACAACGTGGGTCTATGATTGATTAATATGACACAATATAAACGGAATAACCTTAATGAACATCAGATAACTCAAAAATTAACAAAAAAAAAGATTTTTTTCTTCTTCCCAAAGTGCTGCAAGGAAGACGATGAAAATTATTTTTTTAGAGAACAAAATGAAAAAAAGAAAAAAAAAAGAAAAAAGAGAGAAGTTGACGTAATAGTGAAAGAGGTAACACATGTCTACCACCCCGCTTTTTGGAACGACGAAGACGATGACGATGACAAGTAGTAGTGTAGAAATGAAACATGCAACAAGCTCTTCTCTCTATGAATCGTTTATTCTTTCTTCAAAGAAGACGACAAGGGCTATACAGAAGCAATTATAGAGTTACAAACCAATTTGTTCATCTCTCAAACATAGCTATATAAACATTTAAAAGTCAAAATATTAAAATTAAGAAAAAATGTCTACAACAAGCAGCTGATACAGATTGAATTGATATGTGTGTAACACGATAGATTACCTTACCAGACTCACTTAACTGCTGAGTCGTGTTTTCAGCAATGAAACAGCTAGTCGAAAGTACTTTGGTCTTCTTAACTGTTTCAACTGTATTATCTGATTACATCGCCAATTCTCTCAGCTGTCCGAACGACGCTCCAATCTACATGAGCGCGAAGATTTAAGATTTGAAAATACAGTAACTGTCTAATGCCCTTTGAAGCTTCCAGATTTTTACATATTGCGTGAAAATTTGATTACAATATGACCCATGCTGAGCTGGATGAGAATATGGAACCTTCAACACATCCTGGCCACACCAAGATGAGCCCGCAATTAAAGAAAAGACGATATGAAAACAGCGGTTCCTTGTCTATGCCCCAGAGAATTCCACTTCGAGCCCATGCTTCGGTACGTCTCAGAAAAGGAATGTGAGTTTCTGCTATATAAATGAAAAAACAAATGTAATCATGTTTAAGAGCCTTCTCTACAGCTTTCGAAAAGCTTAGTTTGCTCGAAAATAACCTTAAAAGCCTTCCAAAGATTCTCAACTGGAGAACGTTTGCTCTGACTGATCTCGAGTTATCAGGTGAGATATAGTTTGTGTTGCTTGATGATATGACTCCTTTTCCTCAGAATTGTTCAGTTCCGTCTCGATAGGATGTTGCTCACAACCTGAGGGTGCTGACATCACAGAAGGATTCAAGAAGATTCATTTGAGTGAGACTAATGTACATTTCTATCGGCCTTGTGAAGATGGGGCGTTGGCTCAACAGGTTGCAGGTAAGAGTTTCAAGCTTATCAAAGCATATCATAAAATTATAGTTAACGGAGATGACGACGAAGCTGCTGTAGGCTCTCAACTCTGGAACTTGCCCTGCATAGAGTTCGAGAGCATCTGGGAGAATTTGATTTATGACACCAACTTAAAGAATGATGTGAGTGAAGTTACTTTTCGTTTCTATTCTTCTGTACTAGGTCATGTCTTACGTGTATTCGCTGGTTCTACTTTCTGAAAAAGGAGCCAGAATGACAGTTATTAATGTAAATCGACTCATATTACTTTTGGGTAAGCCATACATGAAGCAAAGCATTGAGACTCTCGGATGTTCAGGTCCTCCTGGAACAGGAAAAACGTCATTGTGTAAAGGATTATCTCAGCTTCTATCAATTCGTATGAATAAGCGTTACCCTCGTTCAGTGATGTTCGAAATCAACAGCCACAGTTTGTTTTCTAAATGGTTTTCTGAGGTAATGCGCTGGGTGACAAACCTTGCATGAGATGATAATGGATTGCAGAGTGGCAAGCTCGTGATGAAGATGTTCGATCAAATCGATGAAATGTCTGAAGACAAAAAGTGTATGGTCTTTGTGCTGATTGATGAAGTAATTTTCTGATGCAATAGCTTCTTTAAGAAAGTAATATTTTAAAGGTTGAGTCATTGGGAATGGCCAGAGAATCATCCGCGTCACGAGGAGATCCAGCTGATTCTATCAGAGCTGTTAATGCCTTGCTGACTCAAATAGATCGCATTAGAAGGTAGTTCATATGCTAGTTACACTGCAATCAAACAATCTGTTTTAGAAGAGAAAATGTTCTTGTGCTATGCACATCTAACCTCGAAGATTGCCTTGATAGAGCTCTTCTTGATAGAGCGGATATGATTCAGAATGTCGGAAGACCTACCCAACGAGCTTTGTTCTCTATCCTATCTGACTGTATCAGTGAATTACAAAGGGTATGTTGTTGTGAAAGACGTTTTGGTAACTTAGATGGTTAAAGATCAACATAGTGGAGAATGACTATGTCATCCGCAGTGGGGAAAGTCCAGACTGTGACGAGTATTCGCAGAAGTTATGGAACATTGCCGAAAAAGCGTTAGGATTGAGTGGAAGATCAATCAGACAAGTTCCAGCTCTCGCTTGTTCCAAAGCTTATACGGTCAGTGGGTCCCATTGGTAATCTTCTTATCTCCCCTCATTCCAGGATTTCATGACCTTGGAAGAATGTCTGAACTATTTTGAAGAAGCCGTAACCGAGAAATTGAGAAAAGCTTAACAACGAGCAATTTTTATAAATTTATTAATTGTTTAAAACTTCATAAACTTAATTTTCTGTAACTATCGCAGTATGATCATCTTCATTGGGTGAATAGTCGGGATGAGGTTGACTACTCTCAATGCCAGCATAATCATCATGGGTAATTTCAGAGCTTCTGTACAAGATGTAGTGTTGAATGATGAACACAACATCGAAAATGATTGATACGAGACCGAGACCAAATTTTACCGGGTTTCCATAGAAGGCTGACCAGTCATTCACATTAAAACCCTTGAACGTACAATCATAAATCATGTTTACTTGATGAATCACATACCTGAAGGCACATCTGGAAGATGTCTAGTGATCCTCCTGTGAAATCCAGGAGAACGTTACCAATAGACCATCCAACAGTACTTTTTCTTTGGAAATTAAAAATAGCCTAGAAGGAATAATCTGTATGAGCTTTGAACCTCACAACTCACCTGAGGGAAGTACTTCATGAGAGTTACTGACATCTTTAAGTATGATAAGGAATTCACAAACACTAAGATAGAAACAATCTTGAAGGTGGAAAGTGATCCCATGATTATTCCGATGATAATCAGAAGAACACCAATGATTGAGGCAGTCCTAGACACTCGTTGATTTGCTCTCTGGAATCACATAATGCTCCAGAAGTAGGATCAGGATCAAGGATTACCTCATACAGGAAACATTGGACAACAGTAACGAGACAGGCAAAAGCAGCGTGAACAGCGAAGACAACATCATTCAAGAGAACTGGAATAGGACTTCTAGGATGGGCAGCCTCATATTCACTCTGAAATCATAGATTCTTATCGTGTCATCCATGAATGGAGTGGTAGTACCTGTACAACGGGATCAAAGTAGATGAGTAAGTTATAGCAGGAGTATGCGATAAAGCCTATCAGATTTAAAAACAAAAAATCAAAATTCAATCCGATAACGCTGGAAGAAGCTGGAGATGAGAGAGAATGGGAGAAGAGCAACTAACCTCTTCCTCTTGAAGTTCAAAAAGATTTGAGGATAAAAAGAGATACTCCATGCAAAAAAGTAAAGCCATCCTACGATATGCACAAGCCAATCGATCACATGTGATTTGTAAACTGCCACTTGAACGTAAATGTTCGAGACACTAGGATTGAAGAGTTCAACTAATCACGAGACAGTCACACTTACTCGAAAGGACATCCAGTTTGATTTCCCAAGAATTGACAGTGATCAACTTCGATGAAAGATCTTGAAGTTAATTCCTTTCCGCGTATAGTTAGTACACCTTTGCCGGAGGTCTTGTTGATTACGACGGGTTGCAGTTCCAAGCCGTAAGTCTGATTGAAAGACAGATAAACATCGGCTTCCAAATGGATTCTAAAGCGTGAAAAAACTGATTGGAGTATGGAAAAAGAGAATAACTGACTTGGATTCGAAGGTGATGTTAGCAGTTTGAGAAAGGGCGATTTCTAATTCAGAAGGATAAACAACCAGTTCATCAGTTGACCAGGCCGGAATTGCTAAGCTCAAGATTAAGAGAGCGGTGAACAGGAAGTTAAACATTCTATTATTTTTTCTGTTTTCCCTCTTTTACATACTGAAAACAAGAAAGATTACTGATAGTCATTGACTATATAAAAAAACATTGACAAGACAATGGGAAGACAAACACGACCCAAATGAGAACGAAAGTCAGATGATCTTTGAAAATCGCGATGAATCCGCCAGCCAGAGAACGAGCTGCGGAAAAAAATGAAAACGCATGAGTGTAGAGGTGGGGGCAACAAAAAGATATTTCAATACGAGAGTGATGACAGACAGGAACCGCAATCAGGGAATCACAACAGGGGTTCTTTAATTGATCCATATGATGTCGAATTACACAAACAGGTCATTTCAATTAATGCGAAACATTTGGAAATGAAAAGCGCCCACCCTCAACTGTGACCAGCACAATGTAAACAAGAACGTTAAAGTCATAATAGAGCTGCAAACTTTCTTAGGCACTGTCTCGCTTTAACAAATCACTAGCAAGTCCAATTACGGGGCCATTCGTGAACTGCGCGAGAGCGAGAGAGAGAGAGAGAGAGTGAGAAGATGAAAGCAATCCCTCGTAAAGCCTGTTCAAAATCGAAGCCGGTATCAGAAAACATTAATGTTCAGATCATTAGGCTTACATGAAGATAAACAGGCTCACAGCTTGCAACTTTGTCGTCAAAAGGACATAACAGTTATAAACTGAAGCACTGAGCATAAGGGTCTAAGTGGCTGTTGATTAAATTGAAAAAATTATCAAGCACTCACGCACGATTACCGAAGGTGATAAGGAATTTTTTGAAGTGACAGCTTAAACGGCATGAATATCTAACAGGTGCAACCGGCGATTGAGAATAAACGATAAAAAAAGGGTATCAGAGATCTAGACGGGTGGAAAAATAAAACTGCGTAACTCTCTCGGCAGTTCTGAAAACAGGTAGTAACTATATGCGATGACAAATAAGAAATAAAGTAAGCAAGATCAAAAGCCAATAACTTAAAACTTCATCATTTCGATATTCGGACTGGCCATCATCATCATTCGCACAAGTAACATGAGACTGCCAGAATGATGACAACGTATACAATATACAAAAGAACGACAGTGCTACATTTGAAGCTGTCCGAGAATAGAATGCAACCGTTCTGTGTGTGAACTATTTCGTTTTTATAAAATGAAACGACTAGGAAATGACAAAATAAAAAAGGAGAAAATGTCAACAAACGTGTTCCACATAATTCTTCAATGATGGCTAGTTGAGATGTCTTGAAACTAAAACAGTAAGAGGGAGAATCATTGAAGATGTGTGTGTGGAGCAATCAGTTACAAAACATATTACATCGAATATAAGAAACATCTCTCATTCACAAGCTAGCTACTATCACATGCTCGCTGTTTTGCTTTCAATAACAGCTTGTTCAACAGTTGTGTGGCTTTCCCAAGCGGCAAGCAATCTTTAAACCGACTGAGCACGTACAGTTAATTGAACATCAAATAACATCCATAGCTTATGGTATATGGAAACAATGCAAAACAATTCTTAACATTACGGAAAACAGCCTTTCTTGACAATCTATTGAGGACAGACAGATTGCGTCTTACTCTCCGCTTCCTCTTATATACTCGGGCAAAGTAGGCGGAAAGCTAATGGCGAATAGAGTTACTTCAACTTTGCAAAAAAGAGATGATGATAACGCATATGAAAAATAATAGCTGTCAATTATTTTAAGTGCGATAAGCAAACCAATATTCAAACAGAGAGGTTAAAGGATAAAGCCCGCCAAATTATGAGATGGAAGTTTCAATAACTCCCTGTATGCTAATTAAGCCACGTGAAATTGGAAACGAAATATGCGAGGTCAGATAGAGTTGCGTTTCCACAGCTTTTTTCTGATCAGGAACGTTCACGTGATAGTCTGCTGAGTAAGTGCGCGAAATCAAACAAAGTGAAAGTTGGTCTCAAAGTCTCGTCTGGTTAACTCGAGTAAGCAATGACTCTATCTGACTAGCAACACCTCGATATAAGTTCAGAAAAACGATGTTGACCCTCCCACATTTTCACAAAAACAATGTCCTTTGCATGTTCATTACGTTGTCGAGGTTTGTGCCATACCTCCTACCGTATTATATTGTTTGATATCTAGTTTTCGATCAATATCCCCCGACTTTTTGGCAAAAAAAGTAGAAAAGATTAATAAAAAACAAAAATCTACCCGCAAACCCACAAATCCAAAATGTAATTCCATGGAGGATTTGAAATCGTTTGCGCCATTATTCAAAGACCCAAATGCGGTGTGTCAAAACCGGAGTGTTACACCTTTGGAGCATAGTACAACATGATATTGATTTTTCTTTTCTATTTCGCCGTTAATAGCCTTACATATATAATTAATAAAATAAATTATATCACTTAATATAGAATATAAATCAGCTGCTTGGTGTATAGTGCTGCAAGTGGGGCGCAGAATTGTAGGCGTGGTCATAAAGAGTGAAGCGGTCAATCCTTCTGAATACATTATGTGCTTGTAATGCAAGAAGATCCTAATAATCAATCTGGGGTATGTTATAACTCACACAATCCATTCATGACGGATGCATCTATTCAGGAATCCTCCAGTTTCCGTAAAGGCCCACTAGATAAATTAACTTTAATGATAGGAAAGAAAGTTTTGAAATTTAAAGTTGTAAATGCGCCCCGTGTATCAGGTTTTTTCTTTTTTCTCCTTTATGCTAATTGAGCTCTTGTTCTTGCAGCTACTACAGAAGAGCAGAGGCAAGTTGCTGTGGCAGGCTTGTTCAGATGTGCCTACTGCAAACTAACATTTAATCTTCGTGAAGAACTATCCACTCACATGCAGGTATATTGGCATTGATGAAGCTTTTAACACTCGTGATTGCAGAATGCTCACGGCACAAAACAGTTCGTGTGCGTTGTGTGTGGGATGGGATTCAATACAAAGTCTAGTTTAAGTGTACATCATAGAACTCACACCAGTAAGTGGGCATGCATCTGAAGAATAGTCATAAGCTTTGTAGATTATAAGCCATACCAATGTGTGATCTGCCATAAGGCTTTCTCTCGAGCTTCCAATCATAATTTACATATGAAAATGCATCAGTCTGGTCAGCGACATTTCTGTACAATATGCGGTCGTTGCTTTAAGAAAGTTGATTTACTTGTTGAGCACCAAGTTAGCCGAGTTGTTATTCCACCATTACCATCGAAATTTGTTTAGATGACTTGTGTAGCCATGATGAACGGCGAATATATTCAAACAGATCGACCACTGCGGTACCAGTGTAGCTATTGTGACAAATTGTTCCATCACAAACGAGACAAGGTGACTCTATTATCATCAAAATTACATCATCCTTCTCCCTTAAGTACATACACGAACGTATACATACAGGTGAAAAACCATATCAATGTGGATATTGCGGGAGAGGGTTCACTCAGTCACAGGTATCCTATTCAGCTATATATCACATGATAAATGGGGGATCTTAAGGGATTAACGATACACATTAGGTTACATACAGGAGAAAGGCCTTATACATGTCTAGTTTGTGGAAAACAATATCGCGATAAGTTCATAGTCCAACTCCTGGCAGACGCACATGATTTCTTTTCAGCTCAGCCCTACGGAAACATGAATACAAGCATAACGTTCAATCAGCAGATATGCAGAATATGTATGAAAACGGTGAGCTAAGTGAAGGCATCCTGGAAGATGAATATTCACAATCCATGTGGCATGATCGGATGATGTAATTATTGTATTTAATAATGAATAACTTGCTTAAAATAAAGAGAGTATAACAGAACCTAAGTGTTGAGTACTTGGGTACAACGTTTATCAACAACAATCGCTTCCACCCCCAATCAAAACAGGCGGGAGCATCTTCAACTGCCCATGGCTACGATTTCAGTCATTGGAACGGATGCATCCAGCCCGATGTTGTAGTAATGGGGCTGTGGATGGATTGATGTTGGCGAACAAGAACATACAAAAACAGAAACAGATTTTGTCCTTATCAGGACACCTCTTCCCCTCGCTAGTAGGTGCACGAGCAGTCCAGACAAATCAGCGGCGAAGAAGTTCTCATAACCTACTCTTCAACGCTACATCTTCTGACTGTCCATGAACATACGCAATATGAAAGTACACCGTGTAATGGAACAATTTTTTTTCAAAATGATAACAATCAACACTCAACAACATAACAACGAGAAACAATAACGAAGTTTAGTTAGCAGAGCCAATCTTTTCTAGTAGTCTCTTTCTCTTCTTCTTGATTATCTTCGCGCCTGTTCGGGCAGCGGAACGTTTGCCAACTTTGATCTTCGTGACTGTCCTCTTCTTTGGCTTCGGCACATTACCAACCTATAAGTAGGATGTGAGTCCATGAGCTCAAAGACAACATACGGTGTTGAAACCATCATCCTCCATGGCCTTTGCAATTTTCTCCAAGTTCTTCTTCCTGTTTTTTATTTTTCTTGCTTTTCTTAATTTGTTTTTTGCATCTCCACCTACAGAGAACGAGTTAGAGCTAGGGATATAGTATCAGAACAACCGTCATCTTCCTCTTCCTCATCCTCCTCCCTAAGTTTCTTCTGTATCCTCTTAGCAAGGAGAGCATCCTTATGAGCTGCCTTGGCTAGAGCTTTAGCTTCCCTATTTGCTTTGTTGACAGCCTCCCTCTCCTTATTCTCTTCATGTCGCTCCGCAGCTACCTGAAACAGGAATCATCTCTTTGAACTTGCAGATAGGTAACTCACTATTCCAACTGTGATCTTGCCATATGGAGTATTGCTGAGTTTCTTGATCTTGGCAACAAAGAAACCATCAATATTGTGAACGTGTGGATAGTATCTTCTAGTTAGGTTGAGACTGGGATGGAAACGGTACTGACGGAACCTAAACGCAAGATAGAGAGACGGAAGAACAAGAACAAATTACTTGGTGAATCCTTCAACTCCTACATCTAATCCAGTTGGGACAAGTTGACAGTTTCTTTTCTCCAATGCAAAGTTAACAACAGCTTCATTCTCTTCGACCTGGAAGCCAAGCATGATTAAACATATACATTCCTAAGACAAACCAAGACAGAACAAGTAGAATAAACCAGGTATCCTCCACTAGGAGAATTGGCATCTAAAGAGTCTAGGGCAGCAAGAATGAGTTGACGTTGCAGAGTATGTCTGGAAATTTGATGTCAAAAAACAGAAAAATCCAAACAAAAAACTTTTTCTGGACGTCTTGACTGTCTTTGCTTGTTTTGACAGATTGATCTTTCCAGATAACTCCTGTTCCTGAACATGGAGCGTCCAACAGGATTCGATCAAACCCGCATGGGGATATCTGGATTAGCAATGCGTATGAAGGAAGAACCGTAGAACAACTACCTTGGCATAATCCATACCGTCGACGTTACTGATGACAACGTTATTTACTCCAAGTCTATGAAGATTACCAATAACAGCTTTACATCTTTGATGCTTTAACAGCAAAAATTAATTTGACCGGAGAGTTTTGGACTAACGTTTGCGTCGTTGGCAAAGAGAACTCCACTGTTCTTCATAAGAGCAGCCATGTGAGATGTTTTTCCTCCTGGAGCAGCGCACATATCCAACACTCTTAAATAGAAAATGAGTGACAAGACATAAATTTTGCATACCTGTCTCCTGGTTGAGGGGCTAGTGCCATGACGGGAAGAAGCGAATTCAAACCCTGGATCATATAGTGTCCGGCGAGATATTCTGGTGTAGCTCCGACTGGAACTTGGGAGTCGTAAACAACAAGACCGACTTTAGTCCAAGTAGAGGCAGGGTCAACGTTCATACCACGGCTGATAAGAGCTTTAGCTAGCTCACCCCTATGAAAAATTGAATAAACGCCAGGATACCTTCGCTCACCTTCTCGTTTTCAATGTGTTAGTACGTATGGTAACTGGACGAGCAACATCGTTAGCATCCAAGAATTCCAGCAACTGAAAAACTCTTCAATAGATATCTACAGGACGGAGTTGGACAGACTTCATTTCCGACAGAGAAAAGATGAATGAATTTGGTGAGAAGGTACTCATTATATCCATAGACATTACACAAGTCCTTAGTTAAGATTTCCATGTAGTCGTCACGACTTTTTCCCTTCTCTCTACGTTTAGCGAAATCTCCCAAAACCTAAGTTAATGTTGATGAGTTTGTGATGGATAAAACAGTTTACAACCTGCATGACATCTCTAATTCTATCTCTGATTATTTTAAGGTTTGGGGCTGATTTGATTTCTTCTTCAACCTCTTCCAATGTAGGGAGAACAAAGTTCTCGCCCCCAGCAATGTTGAGTTGCAACTCAGCTTCACCTTCGGCTCTTAAATGACAGAATTCACATTGAGGCAAAAAAACAATATTTACGCTATCTTGGCCTTCTTCTTATCTAATTTCATTGCCTGATGTTCGATGTCTTCTGAAACAAGACGAGCAAATACAATTTCTCAAAAGCTCAACAAACCATTGTCGGAGTCGGAGTCATCTTCATCCTTATCATCTCCTACTTCTTGATCACTTCCAAAATCGTCTTCCATCATTTCATCTCCATCGCTTCCACTCTCTTCATCTTCAACCCCATCGTCACCCATATCCCAAGAGTTATCTCCCTCCTCATCATTGTCGTCGTCGTCATCAAACAATTCAGCTTGTTTGACCTGAGTTTAAAATTAAATATAGAATGTCAAAACAAGATTATTGTTACCTTCTTCATAATACCTTTCTTTGTTCCTTTTTTCGTACCATCCGCGAAGGTTATTTTTGGCTCTTCATTTTCCTCTTCTTCCTAAATTTTCGTGTTCAAAACATGAAGAGCAAATGTATGACACCTCAAACAATTTTCCTGCTGTTTTCTTGGCTACTACTTTCTTTTTCTTCGGTGATTCTACAGCCTTCTTTGGGGCTGCCTTCTTTGGGGCTACCTTCTTCTTTTGAACAGCTGCTTTAGGAGCACTCTGACGAGATAAAGGCGTAAACGTTGAAAATAGGTAACACAAACCTTCTCTTTCCCTAAAATTTTGGCTTTTGGCGAAGCTGCTTTAGCCGCAACTTTGGTTTTTTTCTTAACAATCGCCATCTGGGTGAAACTACTTGAGTCCTAAACAAAAATAATATATTACAGAATACATAATTTAAACAATTTCTATTATAAAATTAAAAGACCAAGCGCAAAATTTCGAAGAACCTGCTTGGTGTGTAAAACGCACCGCCACGTATTTTCACGTACATTCGCGGCTGATTTTTTTTGAAGTGATAACTGCAAAAAGAAGGATGTAGATAGTAAGCAGCAAGAAGTTATTAGAATCACAGCCGCTGAAACCGTTAGTACGTGGAAATAAACCAATACTGAAACATCCACGTGAATGACGCGCGCTTTCCACGTGTTATGTTAATTTCACGTGTGCCACGCAGCGATGTAATGATCTTTCGATTTTGTGATGAATGCGTAAACGGGAAAAGAATCAAATACTTTATTAGTGTAAAAATCTACAAATTGAACTGCATTCATGATTAATGATTATGCTAATTGCAAGACCTTCGCAATCGCAAGACTGAACGCGACCGAATATGGAATGACAACGACGAAAACTGAAAAGATGAAAGAAAACGTATCAAATATGTTTCTAACTTCTGCCACTGTAAGATCATCATGTTAGGTATGGATGAAAGCATACATTACCTTTCTTATAGTAGCGTTCGAACACACAGAAGAGGATCATTTTGGAGAAAAATTTTTTTTTTTTCTAAATGGTAAGAAGGCGTTAACAGACAACAAATCTGACCTGCACCATGCGAGTTGGCAATTTGTAGAAACATGGCTTGAACAATGAATTTGAAGCACAGAAAAGCACAAGACAAGTGCTAAGTACTCTTAAGTTCCCGAGAAACAACCTGATGAACAGTCCTCCTTTTCAGAATTTTTCCTTCTGTCTCTGCACAGGTTTTTTGAGGGAGAAGACTAAGAGAAAGAGAAAACAGACATTTTAGGATTTAACTTAATATTCTGTTATAATGCCAAATGCATATGGTGTGCGAAATCCAGATTGTGGCAGAACAGATACCGGTAGGCTTACGACGTATCATGCAAATTCTCGTGCAATTGATAGTTATGTAATTCTGAAAGAAAATCCAGCTTATAACCGGTTATGTAATGGAAAGCATAATCCGAGTAACTGCTTTCTCTTCTTTGATTTACTTTTTTTTTCTCATTTGCTCTTATAGTTCCAAACTATCTCTGAAAGGGATATAACATGTAGTTGAACACATAGACATGCTATCAGAGTACCGTCTCATTCTCTTCTTTTTCATTTCATTTTGCCTCACGCAATTGCATTGCAGATATCGAAAACCGTCCTACAACTATGACAATGCGGTCATCAGGTGATGATCACAGTGATGACGACACTAAAACAGTCAGGAAGACTTATTAGCAAAGTAGACAGACGATCAGACACATATTTACAAGTTTTACTGACCTAATCCGGTTTTCACTTTTTTTCTCATTTGAGAATCTGTGGAGACACACAGAGATAGAGATTGTAGGCAGTTGGAAATGGTAGAGCCGATAATGCTCTAAAGCTCCACCCTCTCTATCTCTCTATCTCTCATTCGCTCTTCGATCCAAAAGCGTTTCAAGTATTTAAGCAAAAGAAACATATTTAGCATTTCAGTCTCTATCAATCATTGTTCCTTTTGTAATCGCTCATGAAAGCTTTTCAAGTCATTGACCTGAATCATGCATTTCAATGAAATATCTTCAGATATTCTGGAAATAAGGAGATCAAAAAAAGAAATCAAATAGTTTATGATACAACTACCTTCTCCTGCTATATACATAACTCTCCATTTCCATAATAACTTGTTTGTTGACAACGCTTCATTGAAAAGATAACGAACAAAGTTAAATCTTGTATTCTCACTCATCGTCCTTTCGCTCCAGCAGTACATTCGTTCCAACCTGCCTGCTGTACCCATTGAACACTATTACCTTCATCCCGCCTACTCTCTCTTTTTTCAATTTTGATTTACTGCACCCATTTTCGTCATTCGTCTGTGTTGCCAAATCATCTCGCCATCGTTGTTCACCTCATTTTCCATCCACACACACACATACATCATGTATACAACAGCTCATGACTGTACGTTTCGTTTTTTGTGTCTACTACGTGTATGTGTGTGGATAGAGGTTATATTATTTGTCTTTTTGTCACAAAATTACCAAAGCAGAAATCTGGCCAGTCTTGACGGCGAGAAGAACAAAAGAAACATCTCATCTAGTTCCTTATTGTTGTTACGCTTTTCCATATCATCTCTTAACTTTCATCTATTGAAATACCTATAAGTATAAAAGGAAGACGATCGCACTAGCACCGACCTCGTCTCGTGTCGTGTGGAGCTTCTCTCGATTGTTGAAAGAGAAGTGCGAACAAAAAAAAAATGTTTTTCATCATCTGAAGTTCCGTTTTTCATCATGATAACTTACATAATTAACTGTTCTTATTCTGTCAAAAACATTTGTAAACGAACAATCATCATCAGTTGTAATCATAATATTATTCAAAACTATATGGTATAGTTAATGTCTTTGGAGCGGAACATCTTGTGTTCCAGAAAAATGGCTAAAACGAAGATCATAGTTAAATTACAAAAATTCTCCTCCCACCTCTCTTTCTCACTTCCGTCAACTTCTCCTAACTGTCGTCGGTATTCCATCATGCATTCATATTCTCGTGATTCGCATGCCTTCTTCTGCCCCTTCTCCTATCATCACATAACATCACTTGGCTTCTCTCATCACTGAAAATTTTGAAACTCATTGTTTGTATTCTCTCATTACAAGTGCAAACCTTCTAAGGCTATTTATATCGACTCGAGATGATAAGTCTTTCTAAAAGATATTTGACAGATGCATGCTTCATCCAAAAATGGTATGCTGGCATGGTTTCGCAAAAACACTTTACTTCTACTAACTCTGGTTTCTGTCATCTTCGGATGCTGCTTGGGAGGATTCCTTAGGTATCGTTTGATCAGCCTAAATTCATCTCATCTACCCTCATTCAGATTTTCAAATCCATCTGAGACAGCTATTCGACTGATAGGTTTCCCAGGCGAACTTTTCATGAATATGCTTAAAGCCATGATATTGCCTTTAATTGCAGCCAGTCTAATCTCAGGTGAGTATCTGATCTCGTCAAGCTTTCACAAAATCTATTTTAGGTCTATCACAACTGGATGGAAAGACTTCTGGAAAACTTGGCTCACGTGCTTTCATGTACTATGGCCTTACAACCACACATGCTGTCATCGTAATCTGAAAATCTTGTTCAAAAAACGATTGTTAGTATTTAGTTGGGAATAATCATTGTGATGATAATTCACCCTGGACATCCATCCATCAAACATCAAGCGAACATTGGTCCTGAAGTTCATCGAGAAGTATCAGCTCTGGATAAGTTCCTCGATTTATTCCGGTAATGATGAGATATACAATCTGAAAACAATCATCTAATTTGATCACAGAAATTTTTTCCCTGAAAATATTGTTCGCTCAATGTTCCAACAACAACAATCTGTTATAACTGAAACAGTTAATGATACAACGGGTCAAATTCTCAAACATCATACGGTTGTTTACGCAGATGGAATGAACGTGCTAGGTAGGAGGCGATTTGGAGTTCAAAAAAATGAAATATACTTATATGGTATTAAGGACTTATCATGTTCTGCATTGCATTTGGAGTGATAATCTCACGTGTTGGTGCTCCAGCCCGTCCATTGGTGGATCTGTTTATGGCTTTAGATATAGTTATAACTCGTCTAGTATCTGTAATTATGTGGTAAATAGAAGCTTAATCTACTAAACACTCAAACTCTTTGTAGGACTGGTCCTATCGGCATACCATCTTTGATCGCTCAAAAAATGTTGGAGATCTCTGATTTGGCGGGAACAGCTCAAATGTTGGGAATGTTCATGTTAACAGTCATTATAGGCAAGGCAGCTTGTTAACTATATGATATGAGAATATCTATATTTAGGATTAGCTATTCAATGTTTCATCACATTACCATTGATCTTCTTTGTCTTTACACGCAACAACCCTTTCAAATTCTTAAGCGGTCTTGGCCAAGCTGTCCTAACAGCTCTCGGAACTTCATCAAGGTAAGACGGGGATACAAACTGAAAAACATTTAACTGTGAAAGTTATTATCAATATAAAAAGTAATATACTTACGCAATTATATTATTGTCTTTTGCTCGAGCTATATTTCACATACGCAAATGCAACCAGCTTGAGAAACAATTTGAAAATGTAATAAACTTTCATATGCGTTCACGTGATGTCCACGTGAGTTGTTTACATCTCATATATGCTAATTTCAGTGCTGCATCTCTGCCAGTAACATTCAAATGTTTAAATGATATCGGTATTGATTCACGTGTTACAAAATTCGTATTACCTGTGGGATCAATGATTAACATGGTGAGTGATAGGTTTTCATACTTGTGAACTTATTTGGATTCAGGATGGAACAGCTTTGTATGAAGCTGTTGCTTCTATTTTCATTGCCCAAATGAATGGAATGGATTTGTCAATGGGACAGATTGTTACAGTCAGGTTCAAAAACTAAAACCTTAATCATAGTCTTACTTATGAATTTAGTATTACCGCTACATTGGCATCAATTGGAGCAGCATCAATTCCATCAGCTGGATTGGTGACAATGCTGATCGTATTAACCGCTTTGGGATTGCCGGCCAGTGATGTTTCTCTCATAATCGCCGTCGATTGGTTCTTGTAAGTGTTCCCTTTAATATAGGATGTTCATTCTATTTTTAGGGATCGCCTTCGAACTACCGTCAATGTCATTGGTGATGCTTTCGGCTGCGGTTTCGTTTACTATCTCTGCAAAGATGACTTAGAAGATCTACCAACAACTGAATCGAAACCTGATTTATATGCTAATAATAACAATGATTTAGTTCATGTAAGTCTTACCTATAACCATATTCGGTAATATTCTAACTGTTTCATCTCTGCAGGGCATCAACTTCAATGATCTCGAAGACAACGCCAAAACCCAGCACACCTCCAACATTCAGATTGCCTGAAAAAAAGATTTTTTCAACTTCACGCATACATAGAAAACACTTGTATTTAATAATTAATTATATTCTCTGAAGTAATTCCTCTCTGATTTCTAGTAGTTATATATCAGTTTTTATTTCTGGTCTGAGCTTTATATATCACTTTTCTCTTCTTCCTCAACCCTATCCTTTACTTCCTTTTTATTCAAAGCGTTCAGAACGGTTGCATTCCCGCTCTCTCAGTATCTCTCACTCACATCGATATTCTTGCTCTCCATTTACTGATGATCATGAACATGAGCTCTCTCTTCTTTTACTCTTCCTCTCTCTCCTTCTCTCTCTCCCTCTCTTTATTCGTTCACCTAATTTCCATTCATCCTCACTGATTACTGACAAAAGCTTTCACAAAATAAAATGTACATTATGACTTCATTCATACACTTCATCACCTTCTTCATTAACACTGTTGTTTCCATTTCAAATTGCTGTATTTTAGACTCTCTAAAAGTAGTAAACTAATGAAACAAACTATTTAAACTTTGTTCACAAAATTCAAATTCATTATTAATCAGTTGAGCGAGAGGAGGACGGCTCGAAATTGGAATTACGCTCTCCATACTACGAAAGATACCTATCTTCGCTTATTCATCAGAACATTCAACAGCTCATTTGAATTTCTACTAACCTGATCAAAGGATAACAGCTGTCTTCCGCCTGTATGCATAAATGGAGGTGAGTGAACCCTATGGAATTCCTTAGTCCACGCCTCAACAAAACGAAATAACACGCAACAGTAGTATAAGCATCTTCTGTACCTGTATGGTTTGCATGACATGCATCATCACAATCTTTGAACTTCACGTCGATTCATGAGAATTCTAATAATTACTCTCAATTTTCACATGGCCACTTGACGAAAATCAAGTGTTTCACATCCACTCCGTCTGTTTCCAAGTCTGAAGAACTGATTTCATTTGATAATACGTATTAAACAAGTTGACTCTACTCATATCTGCAGTTCGATGCAATGGATTTGTTACTTCTCGCACTTGTGCCATGTCTAACGTTCCTTCCGATAGTCAGCATCATCGCCAATATCATTCTCATGCTCATCCCTCTTCATGATAAGTTTGTTTGAGAGTCAGAAACGTTCTGTTAACCTTCAACTATTAAAGATTAATGAGACAGAACCTACACATCCTCATTGCTATATTTGCCTTCACACAACTACTTCACTCAACTTCCTTACTTGGCTTTCTCATATCCGCCATCTTTGATGTACAGCAGCTTACACAGGTACTAACATCCGTTTGTAACTCAATGAAAGCTTTGTGTAGATGGATTGCTTTATCATCCAATGCATTCCTCTGATTGGAACTGCTCTTTCACCATTCGTTTATTTGGCAATTAGCTTTCAGCTGCTTATCTCAAACGTCAATATTTTTAGGTGACAATAATTCAAAAATAAACTTACCCCTTTCCTTATTTAGACCTTTTATCGATGCATATTCGCGAATATTCCTTGCGGTTCTGCTTCTGCCTGCCTTAGCTTTTGCCTTCTCACTCTTCTTCTCCATCATAGGATGCTATCAGGGGACTGCAGGGTTTGTCGCTTCTTGCCCTCATCTACAGAAGCCTATTTACAGCCAGACTGTTACATTCTGTGCATACTGGTCAGCTTTTGACTTTGAGTCAGACTACTATTTTTATATTTCCGTCCTTATTTGTGTTCTTATCGCATTGATCATGAATCTACTGACGGCTATTTTGGCTTGCAACCAACGAGGTATTTCCACTTCAGTTCTTCCAATCAACTATCATAAGACTCGTTTGCACTTGGATTGCGACCAGCCTTGTTTTATTACATGTATGGAAATACTGTAGCATACTCTATCAGCGTGCTAGGACGGGTTTTCCGAGAATTTACAGTTCAAGTAGAGTTCGAAAACTTCACAAAGGTAGATTTGCCAGTCATCCTTCTAATCCGATTGACATCATGCAGGTGCTATTAGAGGGGATAGCCTTATGGCTGACTTCCTGTTTGCCTCTGTTTCTTTTCTATAGATATAGGTAAAGGCAATTAGTAGGTGACGTGTAGTCATAATCTGATTTCAGTTTCGATTACAACAAAGCTATCAAGAAGCTTCTGGGAAGACTACACGAGTCAAAAGCTGAAACGACTTTATCTTTCTCGAGGAGACGTTCTACAATCGGTGGCAATGACGGCTAAAGTATGTGTGTGTATGTGAGTGTGTGTGTTTACCAATAAAAACTGGTTCAAACCAAGAGATTAAGCATAACAAGAAGATCTGTGGAAGTATTGAATTTCATCATAAATAATGTTAATATTAACAAAGAATTTCTCTTTTTTTCAAGTAAAAAGTAAACATTTGATGTTTAAAATGTAAAATATGAAACAGGAACTTTCAGCTTTTGGATATTACAAAGATGATTAAACCGATTGACAAGTGAGATTCTGGGTGAGAGCGGAGTAAAACAGGCAAATTCTTAGTAAAACGATACATATTAGTCGGTGGCAGGCTTGAGAAAAGCTGTCATGGGATTACTTTCCGTTGTTCCGTCCATCAAATCTTCGTTCTCATCGATAAGCTCTGCAAGAGTTAGCAATGTAATCAGGGCTAGCTCAAAGTAATCTCACGTGTTGCTCCAGAGTATTGTTTGTAGGAAGGAGCATACATAGCCAACAATAACAAAACGTAAATATTCCACATTCCGAATGTGCCTGAAGAGGTATTACATGAATGAGGGTTAGAGGTTAGACCACAGCTTACCGGTGAAGAATGCAGAAGTACTGTGAGTTAGTATTCCATCACCGTCATCTGTAAGTTGAGCTTCTCCATGCTGAAACTCAATGTCATCTTCGTATGATTATGCTAATTATACCTGTTGTAAGCTGTAAGAGACTATTGTTAGTGCAGCACAGACTAGTGTGAAGACCATAAGGAACTTAAAGCGGTAGATAATTCCTTCAACCTGAAGCACAAACTTATAGAAGAGATCGTAGATCAATTCGAATACCTTTAATCGCCTATTTTCACAAGTTCTATATAATTGAGCAGCTCGTTTCCGTTTGATTGTTGTCCAAACCTTCCATATTTTATAAAATAAAAATACGAAGTACACTACAGTACAGAATGTTGCCAAATAAAGCGATAAATACTGGAAATTAGGTTTAAAGCAGAGAATTCAATTACAACATACAGCAAGCATTGTTCCGTTTTCCGTAGACCATATGGAATGGAAGGGATCTGACAGTTGCATTCCACGCTCTAAAATATCATACACTAGGAGAGCAGTTGAAGCAACACAGATGAAGAACAAGTTGAAACGATATGATAACTGAAAGTAGAGATGAGAATGGAATCAAGTGAAACTACTGAACTATATTATTCCTTGTAGTATCGTCAATCAAATGTTCACCTGCGAAGATTACCCAGAAAGAAAATAGTACGCAATAGAAAATACCCTGAAGAGATGGAGCTTACAGAACTCGAATCAGAAAATCAGCTAACCTGACGAATATCTGCTAATAAGAGCAAGAATGGAACTTTTCCAAGAATTGATAACCACTCGATAGGAACTAAACAAGAAAGAATTTTAAAAACAGTCAGCTTCTCTATGACTTACAATCTAATACAGCCATGCTGCAGCCCAAAGCCATGATGGCCTTTTCTAACAGCATCGGACGTCTAGCCATATGTGTAATCTGGAAAGTAAGTAGATATAGCATAACGAATGAGTTAAATTAGCCTACTCTGTTCCAATACCAATAGACTGCAGCTATCAAGATAGGTGAGACTATGGTTTTCAACAAGAGCCAGATAGCTGTGAATCCTCCATTCTGGTGAATCGCCTGAATGTGAAGTGATTAACAAGAATTCCGAGATAACTCACAATAAGAGATAAATGCGTTATCTTTCCTAGCAAACAGTTAGCAGCTTTCTGTGGATCTTCGCTGCAAATGAGAAAAATTACAACTCAAACAGAAATTCAATTTAAGAACAACCGCGCGTGAGTAAAAAAAAAGAAAAGAAAGAGTCACGCCGACCACGTGGTTTGCGTGGTTCACGTCACTCACGTAAATCACGCTGATGCCGCTTGATAACTTCTTCGTGTATACCGAAATTCCTAATTTTCAAAAACTAACCTGCAAGCTTCCTGGTCGATGGGTATACGAATATTCAAAAGATAAAAGGAATGATCGTTGGACGGTAATTGGAACAAGTCAATCAGATCACAATCATAAACATTGCCATCCGATTTCTGAGAAAGAGGATATTGTACCTATGTGGAACCGGAAGAACAACCTTTTTTTCATCGATGGAACAATCCAAAGTTCGGCTCACATTGGTGTTTATATAGTCTTTCCATGTTCCAGGTGAATCGCCATCATCCATGTATCCCATACGGACTTCGAGGTGAAACTTCGCAGCAGGAGCTGGAAGAAACAATTGTAAGGACATTAAAGAACCGTCTTACTGTATTTGAAAACATCGCTGTATTTGACTTCGACATGGAGAATACCAAGAAGAAATTGAAACCAAGGAGAATACTTCAATTCAACTTTCCTATATTAGAAAGGTGATGAGTTGTTAGAGAATGTCTACGATTTACCTCACATGTGGCATTTGAGCAACGAACACTACCTCTCGAAGATCGAAAGAACCAGATGGCGTATGTTTTTCCAGATCTTCAATACGAGTACATTCCTAAAAAGATATTTTTTGTGTTTAATTCGTTTGTGGTGTGAACTCACCCCTTGGGGTCTGATGTAGAACCAATTTTTTGATTCTCCCTTAGAGGGATCATTACACATCGACATCTCAAACTCCATAGATGTGGTTGGAACAGGTGCTAGAATAATATAGGGAAAGCGTTGAACAAAAGGTTTGAGATACTCACCGAACAAGGCTCCGATTAGAAAAAAAACAATTTGAAGAGTAAAAAGCGATATTAGAATATAAAAAAGCTTTTGGTTACTCAGGTTTTCAATTACCGCCCCCGACATTGTCTGCAAAATTTGAATTGAAACTTGATTTGAGGAGAAGAGTTAGGAGTCTAGTTGAAACAACAAACAAGAAGAAAAAAATGAAACGTCGGAATGAAGAAACGTACAGGGATAGGAACCTGTCATGCTCCAGAAAGAATGAAATGAAGAATGACCTCAGAGGTTGTTGGATGAGTTTTACGATCGATTAAGCCTGGGACAACCATCGTCACAGAAGAGCAATAAAAATCCGAGACAGAAAATACATCAGAAGAATTCCGACCGAAAGCAGATCGATTAACAATGTGAACGTAGGAAATAAAAAAAAAGAACTCAACACCCTACTGTTATAGTTAGAAGGAGTATGAATATGTATGAAGAGTGAGATGAGTAGAGAACTAGGACATGGAAGGAGGGATGAATGACCGAACATGTCAGAGGAATAGAAGAAAAGCTCTAAAACAAATATTTACGAGAAATAGCGAGTTGATAACAATATCGAATTTTCTGTTAATTAACCTCAGCAGCGAGAAAGATCACCGATAGGAGTTGCAAAGGAGAAAGTCACAGTCATACACTGTGTATGAGAAAGCTTTTATTCAAAAACGACAGTGTTCAGGGTATGACCCAGCTGTGTTTCGGTTTGATTGATTAGACGAACGAAATCGTTGAGAGAAAGATATGTTCATGAGTATGCGAACAAGAGAGAATGAGAGAAAAAAAAACTGAGTGTGTGAATGGAGCAGACAAGAAAAAATCTGCCGGACGACCAGTTAGATGCAGCGAAAGTATTGTTTCTGCTTGTTTCGGTATTGAAATATGTGTGAGTGAGGAAAAGGGGAAGGACAGACAGCGGATATCGTAAATCAAAAGCAAACAGTTCCTCCCATTTGATTCATGCCGACCATACATATACACACACGTATGGACAACCCTCCTCTATATGGAAACTGTAATGATGCCAATGGAGTTGTCTTCCAGCGGCTTATGAATACATGAATAAAGATAAAAGCAAAAAATAAATAAATGAAATTAAAATTTTCAAAAGAATATTTTATTAAAAGTTGATAAGTCAGTCCAGTAGGGGGGTGAATGATGCGCTCTTTTTCGAATGAACGCGGGAATGGTTAGGAAAAAACGTAAAAAGAGCGATCGTGAAATTCAGCCAATTTTTTTTGTCCTTTCTTCATCAACACATTAATTTGACATTTGCAGAGATTTTGAATGGCTAGTTTTCCATTAGCTAGCAGACCTGCTATTCTATTATACTTGGCATACGAACCATTGTATCATGGTACTCTCACTAAAGCCCAGACCAGTGAGTTGCTCAAGAATGATGGCGACTTTCTTGTGCAGGTGAGTTCTTTGTGTTTAAGCCGAAAATAGCTTTGATGGCTGCTTCAAGGCGAGTTCCGATCAAACGACTGTTGTCATAAGCGTGAGAAAGGATACTGTTCATGGATTCTTGATTCATACTGTTGAGGTTACAATAGATATCGCATGTTCTTCAAAACAGTTTTTATACAGACCCTCGTTGGCGTTCTCTTCAAAATAAGTAGAAAAACGTTCCACTGTTTTGAAGCTCTCATTAATCATTTCACTTCTGAAGTGTTCGAAATCAAAGAAACTGGAGTCATAATTCGATTTACTAACCCAATCTTCAGACGACTGTGTAAGTCCACCTTAAATATACAGGCGCTTGGCGCACGCTAAAGCTCACGTCTGAAAGTCATTTCTTGATGACGCGTCGTGTGAACCGGTTGCATATGAACTTATATTGATGGTTAATTCAAATTTCTGTTCCAGCCTTCAGTCGTATTGGAACACCAACAACAATGGAGCTCGAACCACGTCACTGTAAAACAACCAGCTTACCAGTTGCTCCAAAAGCCGTTCAGTCAGACCTTGTTCCACTGAGGAAAGAGTTGTTCTCAGAAAGCGTTATCCCACAATTAGAAGAGCTCTGTAAGCTTAGACACAAGTAAGTTGTTCGTTTTGAAGATCTACTCACTTTTGTTTTCCTACTAGGAATGTGATTGAGCTTCTTGATTTTCAACGATATTTGAATTTTAACACAATGGCTGTAATACTAAACTATCCTCATCACAAAGCCACTATGCAGAGTTACTTCGAGTCCAATGAGACCTCCAGAAGTTTCATGTACAAGATACTCAATCAAGTAAGTTTGTTCTTTGAGTCTGTGCCGTTGACATGTATTCTCAGGCCGCCGAAGGCATGCAATTCCTCGCCGACAAAGGATTGGTCGGAACGATTGTAACTCCTTATGTAAGTCTTAATTTATAATGCCTTGGAGTTCCATAAACCGTTATAGGACAGTTATATTGACGAGTTGGATAACTTGAAAATCGGGTACGCTTGGAAAGATCCTTGGCCAACATTCCATCAAGAGACTTTCCTAAGTGCTAATCACTGGAGGTTAAAGATTATCATCTTGATATACTAATGGTTCACTTCAGGTTCTTAGCACCAGAATGTGTTCTTCTCAACATGTTCGGTCCTCCAACTCTTATGTACAACTTCGGTATACTAGCGTGGTGTATAATGACAAAGTGTTCCTTGACACCATTTGCTTAGTGAGTGTACAGTTTTTGTAGAAAAAAACAGAGTTATATATCTTTCAAGTCACGAGACGTTCTCTTCATTCTTTCAAGTGATTGACCATGAAGAGCTAATGTTCCCTGGCAAACGTAGAAACAAACTGATAGAAGATGTTCTACCGCAATTGTAAGTAAACCACGTGGTGTTCGTAGTAATCTGGTATTGTATTGAAGGACAGCAAGTATCCAAAGTTATCAGAAGTCAGTAGATGCATGCGATACAATCCCTGAGAACATAATGTGAGTTGTGGATGATGACAGTAATGAAGAGGGGGCTTCTTTTAGGAACATGATCATATCAATGGTGAAGCTGCAGCCATACGAAAGACCATCGTGGGCTTTAGTAGTAAAGGTATGATGATGATGATGAGTGACTCAGCCATGTACGATACTTTCAGGAGACTTCCGTTTCTTCGACAATCGATAACATCGTATCTTCAGTCAAGACTCTCTTCCCATTTGTTTAATATGAACGTTTAACCGATAGCTTTACAGATGATAACTTTTGTTAGTTTTAACGTTTTATAAATAAATTTTTATTTACAATCAATTGGTTATTAAATGACAGTTAATTGATTAACGTTAGATTACTATGAAAAACCCGTATGATGGCAAAAGAAAGTAACACGTATTTCAAAGAATAAATATGATGAGCTTGTAAACGAGTTCCACTTCTCTGCAGATTGGCGGAAATAATTCTTTTCGATAAAATTAATGAGATGTTAGAAAACGCACAAAATGCTCATACATGGATTATCTACAAGAAACATCCGCCTGCACATATTCAATCGTCGTCTGGAGCATTCGTATGAGGCAGACAATAGCTCAGCTTGCGATTGACACTTGGTGGTCTTGAACACAGACTTCCATGACTAGATGAGTGACGACGACACAGAGGCTTTGGCAGATAGTCCTCGACGTATACATCTGATGATGCTCCTGAATAGGAACGTTGGCGGTACAATTTGCCGTCTGCAATTGAGAGAGTTGAGAAGAGCTTCGGATTCGGATGGTTTTGGACTATAACAAAGGGCTTGGGACATCAATCACCTGGTCCTCGGCGTTCGTCAACTTTTAAAAAGTCTTTATAGGTTACAGGAGCACTGAATAAACGTCCCAGGACAACTATAGTTGTGAGAAGAGTTGAAATACCACAGCAGATCATAAAAACAGTCGGTATAACAAAAAACTGCAAGAAGCGATTGTTTAACATGAACTTGTACAGCTGACTCACGATGCTTATGAGGAATTTTTTCCGATGTTGTCCCCAGGCATAAGAATATAGAATTGAGAAGATGCAGGTCCACAGAGCAAGTTGAGCTTGAAGCACATCGTAGAAAAGTGAGCTGTTGGCGTCTTTACAAGAATCATTTGATACCTATAACAATGAAATTATGAACGGAAGCTGACTGGCTATGCGTCACTAGAGCTAAGAGTAAAGGGCAAATCATTGAGGTTGTCAATGTGAAGGTCGCCATACGAGAGTTCAGTTCGCATGAGAAACAAGAAGCTTTCAAGCTTATCAGTAATAACCTTTGAGGGTATTCTGAACAAAGTTCACAAACATAATTACCATTGCAAACTTTTCAAACTCGCAGCCGGGGGAAATCAAAAGAATGTTGAGATGTGAAGATAACTGTTGGGCAAAAGATAAACTGCTTCGAAAATAAAAGTTATTACCTCGCTCAAGCAATTGCTGAGTTTATCAAGTTCTTCGGACGAATGGTATTCGTACGGAGGGGGGTTGATTTCCTGAAAAACGAGAGACATGATCACGAGCAGCATGAACAAGTGCTCTCCATACAAGTTGATTTCACATTCGTCATTCAAAATTTTCTTCAAAATTCACTTTTTGCAAGAGTTTCTCCTTTCTTTGACGCCTTCACCACCTATTTTTACCAAAAGCACTGTTTTTGAAAACAATATTAAGAAACATACGCCAGAAATGGAGTCAATGCTGTCAGTTCTGCTCACGGGCATTTTCGTGGTTGGGCCCATATCTTCCTCTGGCAATTGCTGGGATCGGTTTTCCAAGTCGTACGTCATGTTTAATTCTGAAAGTAAGACTGAGTAAAGGAGAACATTGAGAATACTATGAAAATCTTCTGTAGCTGTGGGTGGCTGCCAAAGAACTGCCCACATATACCAGTAATGATAAGAACAGGAAAAAAAACGAACAAATCGGAAATTCAAAAGAGAATCGTCAATAAGTTGACTTATAAAGTTCAACTATCACACCAACTTCACTACTGAATCAAACAAAACAAGCCAAACAGTGGACGAGACAGCCGATTAATTTCTAAAAATCGCTAAATCAGGAAGATATAAGGACGATGTACACTTCTAGTGTACGTTGGGGACAAACACAAGCATTTCGGACAGATAACGTTCTTCGTTCTCTCGCATACAACGCCTTTTTTGGTTTTCGTTCTAATTTTTGATTGAAGTAATCAACAGGCAGAACTGCAGTACTTGAAGATCTGCTGCATAAGCGTTTCTCTTACTCAAACATTGATGGCAAACGAATGAACTGAAGTACGCAAAAAAAACAAAATAAGAATTGATATACATCCATATATGACCAGTATGACTTCATACTATGAAGAGAGAGAGAGAGAGAGAGAGAGAGAGAGAGAGAGAGAGAGAGAGAGAGAGAGAGGAAGATGTGCACTACATTGAACAGTCAAAGTCTAAAGTCTTCTGTCACTTTAATTTGAATATTATCACGTAATAATACGTGAACGTCATTCACGTCATTCACGTCATTCACGTCATTCACGTTTTTCACGTTTCTCATTTTCGAATATAAACGTAGATGATGCGGTTGTGTCTCCAAAAATTTCATTTTTTCATCAATTTTTTTCATTTTCAAGACGGATATCAAACTTATCACAAAAAAGAGAGAAAGAATACGGAAAGACCGACTGTCAGGTAAGTACGTGATATGTGATGCAATCATTTGTAGAATTGTATCAATTGATAGAGGACAAAGTGCGAGAAACTAGAAGATATCTATGCACGTGGAATAACGAAATCAGGAACAAAGAGCGAGTGAAGCGGGTTTGTTATTATTAATGAGCGTTTTCTGGGCGAAAGTTCATGAAAGCAGAGGATAACATTGAGGTAAATTAAAGCGATCAAACAGACGCACGCACGCACTCGCATCAACAGTTATCGATGATAGAAGTCAATGAAGTATGCGCCAACACATCTTTAAGTCAGCAGTTTTGCACAGATACTTTTCAAATGGAAAAAGAATGAAAAAAAAAGAAAAAAAAAGATTTCTCGTATATGAAATCCATCATAGTTTGTCAAGAACAATGTTACGTAGGGAATAAAAAGAAACGATAGTAAATAGTTAGGAAACACTTGGAACAGAATGTGAATGGAAGTGTGGCTATGGAATGTAAGACGAGTCTTTGCAAAGCAATTGAAAGAGATTGGTAGAAATCCACCATGTTCAAGAATAATTAGCTTATCATTACAGTTGCAGTAGGAAACAGCAGCAGCCGAATAGAGAAGACAATGATGTAGAAGAACTAGTTTGAATCAAGTAAGAAATCGTTGTAAAAGCAAAGTGGAATCTGTTAGTTTTTCGAAAAACATTCAACTATCAACTGTCCAGAGAGAGAGAGGACTTGTAATCAAAACAGTAAACATGTTCATTTGTTGAGAGATGAGAGAAATGTAGAAATTCAATTTTATTGTTTCAATTTGTAGATGTGGTGTCGAAACTGTGCATGTCTGATGATGAAAACATCAAAAGCCACACTGATTTTGAGTGATAATTTCAGATTTTGAACATGAGAAGCCATTCATAAACAACCGTTATCAGAATTGAGAGACGAGAACACCAGAAGACAGTAGGTTTTCATGTTTTTATTTTCTTTTTTTTTTCTCTCTCTTTTTTTTTTTGCAAAACGCAGAAGTCAATCAAGATAATAATATTTTGGAAAGAGATGATTGGGGGGTGGAGAAGTTAGGTAGTGGCCGGCCACAGGTGGAAAGAGAAGCCGTCATCAGGATGGGTAGATGATGTTAAAGTATATAAAGGCACACCCATTGTTGATCACTTCCAACAGGTAAGACCCGAGTTATGACGAGTCTCTTAGTACGCGAAGACGTACTTTAGTCTGATTCCTGTCTCCAAAAGATGAGAATAGAAAATTCGAGAGAAGATAATCGTCAACAATTTTGAAAAGATAGTTGAGGGTGTGTGTTTGTTACAAATTCTTATCAGAGCCTGTTCTTCTCATCAAGTAAATAAGTTAAAGCAATTCGTGGCGGCAAGGATAATGAATTGGTTTCAATGAAAAGATACTGAAAAACTACTCACACAGCGTATGCTACAAGCACAATCGCTTCTTGAAATAAGTTTGTGAACTTTTTTCTAACATCTGAGTCGGTCTATGGCGTCCCAGTATTGCGGTGGACTTTTTACTGATAAATTCTAAAAACCGAAAAAAACTGATAAGCCAACCTCTTAACGAATGTTTTCGGGGAAGACAAGATGCCGAACCAAAATGTATCGTTTACATTTCATACGCAGAAGCCGAAGCAGAGAATTAGAGACACGGATTGAAGGAGAGACAGTTTTTTGCCTATTTGTTCAGAAAGTAAACGCTATAACAACGAAAACATATGAATCTATCAAATGATAAAAAGAATAAGGAGAAAGAGAGAGAGAGTAAGAGGCAAGCAGAGAATGGAGAGTGGGGCGAAGGAGCGAGGTTCGTTGGACATTACTATTGGTCCCATGCTGTCGACGTCGTTCTGACTGTTGTCTGCGTCGGGACATGACCATGTTTAGTTGGATGAGAGCCAAAATATTAATGAACACACACACACATAGAACTTCAGAGATTGATTCTTCATCATATCGTTCAAACTCCTATCTATCAGACAAAACTCAAAGATCTTCCAAATATTCGCGGAATAAGAGGTGGAAATGTAGACCAAGCGATACAAATGAAAACTGTGACAATAATGCTCAGGGGAGGAGAGAAAGAGACAAGAATGAAGTTTCAAAATACTATTAGACTGCTCCAAACTCTGTTATCCTATAGATAAGACATATGTCGTTGTTGACGGTGAGGGAGGCTGTGATCGCTACCACAGTTTGTTGAGACTGCTCACATACTAAGTTTCAGAAACATTCTGACTTTATCTTTCTAGAGCATACATCACTGCATGGAACAGGCGTTAACGAAAAGTAAATAAGTTTTCGACAAGTTCTCAACACAATTTCGATGGTGGATCGGAAAGCTCAGCATGTCAAAATAGCCAGTGAATGAAGGAAGTGAATGGAGAACAAGAATAATGCGATTTAATGAAGACATTATGGGAAGAGGTAGTAAAAAGAGACAACAGTTGACCAACAAGTCCCAAGGAACACTCATCACACGCTCAGTCTGTCGTCATCATTATCTACCTGCTGGTGGTGTTGATGATGAAAATAGAGACAAAATACATTGGGATATAAGAGAATATGGATGGAAGAGCTATAGGGAAGAGAAGACACTAAGAAGAAAGGCCGGGACACGTGAACAGCACATCTCCATCCACATGTTCTTCAGCTGAACGACAATGGTATCAATCGTTAGCCAGATGCATATGTTATGCAACACAGAACACACCTTTTCCATTGAAAACAATAAATGAAGTTACAAAAAAAAAAAAGATTGTGAAAAGGGTGGCAAAGAGGTTGGTCTTGTTCTTGTTCGTCGTGTTTCGAAAGGCTCCCCAAGACAGTATCCAAAAAGGGTAACAACTCAAAATATGCAATACATGCAGAAGAATCAAAAAACCTTATCAATCCAATGTCAAAGAAAAACATTGCGAGAGACAGCAACTAGTGAAGAGAGAAAGTAGATTGAAGTAAAAGAAAGCTAATAGATAATGGCCTGTGTAAAGAGCGAAAACCGTCTCGGATCTTCGTCAATCCGAACTAGCGTCTGACCAGGGGTGTTGTTAATGATCATGTTGATTACAGAATGCATTTTTTTCATAGATATTCCCACTCCACCTTCATATGTAAATAAATAACAAAAATGCAGATAAAAAGTATAAATATCAATTGAAAATGAGCATCGGTGGCAACGAGATACGCTCCTTCGACGTCTCTCAATCACGTACAAAATGAGAAAACACGCCGCATGAAATGCGAATTACAAAATCAACGGATAAAAATATAAAAATAAATAATATAAAATAATATTTTTATGTAAAATATGAGACGATACTAATCATTTTGCTATCAAAACATCGCTACTAGCAGGAGTAAAATGAATGAGCCAGGCAGGCAGGCAGGCAAGCCGAGGGCGGCCATACAAGACTAGCTAGGGCTGCGGTTGTGTGCCGGGGTCAGGCAATCTTTGACAAAACGGGAAACGGATGGATGTACAGAGAAATGAGTGAGATATTGACATTTAGAGATTAAGGTAAGATGAGAGAGAAAAAGGCAGAGAGAGAGTAAAGAGAGAGAGAGAGTGATAGATAGACAGAGAGAAAGAGAAATGAAGTTGATTAAATCATTACATTAACTTATTAATTCATTTTTTTGCATATTTATTTCAGGCTAACTATATGGCCAGCAACTGTTTTACGAATTATATCAATCAGTCATTAACTGCTCAAAGATTATATTGGCCCCAATCCACGTATCATAAACATGTTCTTCACGTGAACCTCATTAGCATAATCTATGACGTGAAACGTTTTGAACCATCTAATCAATAGCTGTTTATTCTAATTTCGTCAGTATTAATTGAATGTGTGCGTTGTCAGTGTCAATCTCAAACATACACACAAACCACATGTCTCAGACGTTTTCATGTAAGTAAGTTATATCAGATTACTTACTAGTACATCTAATTGTTCCAAATTAAGATCTTTCATTGTTCGTTGTCCACAGATCGGTTGCATTCTCATTTCTGATTAGAAACTCCTCCTCCAACAAAAAATCTTTTATATATATATGTATATGTATATATTAATATTAAATAATTAATAGACGCATATTAAAAGAGAAAATATTAAAGTTGAGTATGTTACGTTGGGCCGGCCAATGACAAAAGCAGTCGTGAGGTAGAAGATGAGTGATGAAATGATTAATGTCAAAATGAAACAACTTCTATATAAGTCGAGAGTAAAGTGAAACACAAGGTGGAAAGTATCAATCACATTATGCAATCCTAACAATACCTGTTTGAAGCTTATACAAAATCGCAAATACCACAAGCCTTCCTACAGAATTTGTACATATACTTGGCGTTTGCACCACACTGCTTATAGAATGCCCAGTATTCACATAACGGATGATTGTCTTCACAATTCTTAGCGTCAAACTTCGAAGTAGTGAAATGCTGAAACGGAAAACTATCTCTATCAGTTTTTCTATAACTTACTATCCTAGGAGAAGCAGAAGTAGGTTCGTCATGGAAGTTCGATTGCTGAAAATAATCAAAAACCTTTAAACCATCAGTTTTCATGAACATACGAGATCTATTGAGGATGGTTCACCATCTTCTCCACTCTGAGTCCTGGATTGGCCAGTCAACATTTCTGTTGTTGTACTTCGCAGATTAGACAGATCTTCTTCAGTCAGAACATTCTCGTTCTACAATATCAATCATTTCTAATTTTTGCGCACACTTCTTATCACACCTGCGAGGTTTGGTCTAATGATTTGATACCTTTCTCATTTTCTTGTCGTCTAACTAGATCTATCATTTGACGTCGGAAATTATGAATCTGGAACTATAATGATCAAAGAGTAGAATCAATTCAATTGCTCACCATCACATTCTTACTCTCGTCCGCCTCCGATCCTGGATCAGATACAGAATTCAAGATACGAGCTTCTAATAATTCAATGCGTTGACGGAGTCTTTCAATGATAGGCTCAATACGATTGTTGGTTGGTTCTGAAGCAGTCACCTTGTTGATTGCCGATAAGAGACTTAAGATGGAACCTTTTGTAACAATAATAGGTTTGACTTCAGGAGTTTCAGTTGTGGATGGACGTTGCGTTGTGGTTGTGACAGTTGTCGTGGTCAGAGTTGTTGTTGGCGTTGAAATGGTTGTAGTTTCCATAGGAATCGCGCTTGTCGTTAGAACGAGAGCTGGCATATCACCCATCAAGTTCATTTGTTCATCAAAAACAACACTTTGCATTCTTTCTTCAGTGGCTGGGACTTCTTCCGAAGACACACGCACAATTTCCTGGACAGAGAAAATCATAATCTTAGTCAACTGAAAAATGGTTTACCTTTCGTACTTTGTGCTTGTGTGCTACATCCTTGTTGGCTTTCTTATGGTTAAGACGTTCGAAATCAAATAGTTTCTCTAAGTCACTAATATGATCATCCGGACTCATGTTTTGAAGGAAGTCTTTGATTAGAAGACGAACTTTCTCTAATTTGTCATGCTTAGATGAAGGAGAAGTGGATGACCCAGGGTGAGTGACCACTTTTGATTTCGATGCATCGCCATTAGAATCGAGAGATGATGTGTGTGATGCTGAGTTTGTTGTAGATGCATGACTGCTAGATGGTGGTGAAGTTATAGTCGTAGTGGTGATAGGAACAGGTGTTGTTGTAGAAGTGAAAGGTGTTGAGAATGTCGATAGAGTTGTCGGCGATGTGCTTGCTAAAGAATTTACAGTTTTACGTGATGTTGGAACCGATGCTGAGTGTTCATCTCTTTCTCTATGCAGAGGTCGTAAAGTGCTCTGAAATCAGAAACATGATCAGTGTTTTTCAAAAATGGGATAAACCCGTCTGAAAGCTGTGGTATGGAGTGTTGGTCGAGATTTGCGCAATGCTGGAGTTGTGGTTGTCAATTTTCGGATCAATTCGTGGGATGTCGTGCGCCTAGTCGATGATGTTAGAGGGAAACGGTTGGGAAGTATAAATGTAGGCTGAAAAATAGATCACTGCAAATGACACTTCCATAACTCACAAACCTTATTTCGGTTTTGAGAATTGAGTGATCGTGGTGCAATAGTAGGTAATGAGTGTAACACCCTTGTTGGTCGAGTAGACAGAGTTCGACGACGTAATGTTGTGGGTGGCGAAGTTGTAGTTGTGCGGGAAGGAAAACGGGTACTCATTGGTGGTTCTAGGAATTGACAATAAAAGAAGTTAAAAAATGAACTCATACGATTTCTGCGATCCTCGATCTCTGTGAAGAGGATCTGATATTCACGTAGGCACAAGTCTGGTACTATAGGTAAAACTGTATTGTGACAACATGAGATCAAAAACTTACAACTCGCACAATGAGGTCTCTCGAAACCGCGTCTAGCACAAGCTGATTTTGTTATGAGAGGATCACCACAGTTACATCTCAATGCTTGTGCTTCGCTAGTTGTCAGAAAACGAACAGTGTTGCGTATTGGGTCCAAAACGCCTGAAATCAAAACATAAATGACAATTTTACCGAGGAAAACAGAATGGATGAACCGCTTCAATCGAAATACGTCAGTTAAATGAAAATGTTCACGCTTCACCTGACCCACGTGGCTGACGTAGTTAACGTGAAAAACGTGAAAGCCGTGAACGTCATGAAATGGGTGAGTTAAACTTACAGATATAACTATTTTGTTCTAGCCATTTGTGTATCTCCGGCCGTTGAATGGCTGTCCATCCCGATGGCACGGCGACGAGCAATCCTACCAGTACCAATAGCACCATATGAGATAATTAGTAAAACACAAATATATACAGAAAAGGGTCTGAATGTATGAAATGAGAGTGATATGATGTGCAGACGAAGGTAGATAGAACAAAAAAAAAAGAAAGAATATAAACAAATAAAACAGATACATTCTGCTTTAGTAATCGGACACAAATGGATCGAACAGCAATTTAACGCGGACGATAACCAAATATGTCTGGGCATAGTAGGTCGGAAAATCTTGAAGAATCTACGAAAAGAATGTTATATTATAGGCTATTAATGAAAGTCAAATGAAACTCGTTACTGTTATCTAAGTATACCGTCGGCCATTTTATTTCGCTCATTCGGAAATCCTGCTCAAATCGAATGAAAGGTCATTCATTCTTTTAAAGGATGAAGTCAAAGGATTAGGAAAAAAGACAAAAAAACTTCCGATCCTATCAATGCAAACTGTGCAAAACAAGTGAAAGGGCGACTCGGACAACTAAAATCAGCAAAAAACTGTCAATCGGTTTACTTTCATTTGTACAACGATGAACTATCTCCATTCACAAGTGATCAGCTCTTAGAAACACATCGGCTTTCGGATCATCCGGCAACTCCGGATGTCCAAGTTCGAAACAACTTCAAAGCTTTACACCTAACGAATGAGTAAGAGAAGAAAGAAGAGGGTAAAGTCGTGGTAAGACAAGGTAGGGCGAGAACTCAAGGATTCAAGACCCAATTCGATCAAAATCATTAATTGTTTGTATTTTTGGTAAAGACGAGAGTTAGAGGAACGAAAGGAAACGCAATGAAATGAATATGCGGAAAGTGAAAACATGAAAGATAAAAGATTGGTTAGCAACGAAAGTTCTTCTATCTTTTCCTTCCTAACTTCTCCATCCATCTCACACTCTCTTTCCAGATAGTCAAGTAAATTGGGAACTAACTATAAATGGGAATGATTAGATGGATAACCAGTTGGATAGGTAAGTGGGATAGTCATAGACTTCCATTTCTTCGAAGCAATCAGAGTTACGATTTGCGAGCTGCTGCGGCAGAACCCGAAGATCTTGAACTAATGATCTGGAAGACGACTACTCTTTATACTGGATGAAGATTACCAGATATGGTATTAACATACGCGTTAGTCAGCCTGAGGCTAATATGAATCTAACAAAGCTTCGAGATTGGACTAATCTTATCTCGAAGAGGACAGTATGGCTTGTTCCATCTAGGATTAGTAATCGGTTGACGGTTGACACGTTTTCTATAATCGGCTTGGTACTAAAAATCCGAAGCTTAGCTGCTCATGTAATCGTGTCCAGCGTTATGTGAAAGCAGATGATCATTACATACTAATGATGTCTGGAAGTAGAGTAAAGTCTTCACCATTCTAAGGTTAATCATCTTGACCATACTTAGTTAAACAAGTTCTTGAAACTAGACCTTTAATCCTCACGCATTCCAAGCAATCAACCTGATTCGAAACACCGAAACCCCATGTCATCAACAAGTCGCTTTGAAAATCAAAAAGGCGCTAAAATCTGCAAATCTTTCGAAGATGTCCACGATTGCAAAATCGGAAAAAAACGGATGATCAAAACAATGGAAACATTTTTCCTCTCCCTAGCTGAGTCACTCTCTAGTCACAGCTATATCGTGTGCACTAGGAGAGTCACCCAGATAGGTTTTGGAAAATCGGCCTCAACGAATCTACATGTTGTTCAGTTTTCTGCCAGCAGAAAGATCACTGTGATATCAATCGTCAGATTTCACAGCCTCTTTGTGCTCTCAGACAACTAACACAAATAATTCAAGGAAGTTAAGAAAATGCGCAAGACTGAATGTGATTCTAGTCATAAGAAGTCTATAGGACTATAATTCACACCCAGTCCTGAACACTTCATGAATGTATGGAGGAAGCACGATTAGCAGGTTCAACTCGCTGCTCAACAGCAGGTACTGTGATATCACACTGCATGGAAATCACCGAGACCCGCAGTTGAGCAGAAAAATGAAAAAACCTAGAAAGAAAAAGGCGGAGGGTCGACAGGAAGTAGGCGCTTGGCAGGCGGGAGAGCACAGCTGATGGCAACCAACTAGACTGGACCAGAGGAACTGAAGTGAATGGCACCTATTATCCGCGCATTACAGATATGAACATTTAAAAAGTGGGCGGAGCGAAACGCGCGCGGTTTTGAGGTAGCCAGGGGTCACATTTCAGATAAAAAATTGACATTTCCCACTCGATGGACTGGGAAAAACGATTTTTTTCAATATTACTACGGAAACACCATTGTTCACGAGTAAATGTAGTTTGTAATCAAAATAGGTCAGGATAGACAGAAGTTATGAACACTTGAAAATGTTTTTTGTACTGCACACTTACCGTTAAGTCAAAGATCATACAAAAAAAAAAAAAAAAAATGATATCGATTGCTGTTCGATTTCTATTTTTGAAACTAACGAGTGCACATAGGGACAGCATAAATCAGAATATTATTATTATTATTATGATTAGTAGCATTGAAATGTGATAATTACGAAATTCGTATATGACGTTCTGCCACCCAACGAAAGTCGTAAATCATAAAACGTCAGAGATTTCGTCAGATTCGTATTGGAGCAACTTATATAACCTGTAGGTAGGGAGAAATGAACTTAACACTCTCCAGTACATTCGAAATCCTCTTAAAATTTCAAAATCTTCGGCAATATTCGAACAAACAAAACGGGAATATGGGACTCTCCCAGGCTTTATGAAACTTGAAAAGGCAACTTTCGGTCCTTATTATACATAAACAGGAAAGAAATGTTTATTTTCATTGCTTAATCAATGAATTACGCCATTGGATACAACTGGTACGTTTTGCAAAAATTTCGACCACGGCAGGACTCGAACCTGCAATCTTCGGATCCGAAGTCCGACGCCTTATCCATTGGGCCACGCGGCCTCAATCTATCTACTCACATGAACTGGCTCATATTTTGCATGGGAGAGCAAATGCTCTAGCTGCTACTCTCCTTGAATGGCATGTTTTTCGCTTGGCATTAATGGTTGGAGAATGCTCTGCGTCTGTTGATGTATCTGGTTGTCTGTATCTGTTTTAAACGGAATGCAATGCCTATGTGAGGTAGCAAGCAAAGATATGCATATTCATTGCCATATACATATCAACTGAAAGATTTTCGAAATTAAAAATTTTAATTTGTTCGTTGGAGTGTTCTGAATCAAAGATTAAGGATATTTCTGTTCATTTAGTTCAGAATTGGTCTTTAAAACCCAAGAAGAATCACATGGACCGCCTGGAAACGTCTTTTATGAATCGGCGAAGAAGGGAGTAGATGATGAACCTAGAAAGGAGAGAAACCCCCGAAATACACGTTGCTGTAAAAGAACGTCTGAGAACATTACACAATACAGAAATAACTCTTTTAAGAGAGAATGATAATCTCTCACTTCCAGAAGAATCTTTCGAATCTGCTGCATCAGGCGATGGGAGCGGAGGGCAGGCTAAAAACAAGAAATGTAACCAGCTTGTGCTGTGAAGTTTGGTGGGTTCATACAAGGCAATAACTACTTCTATAACTTACAACATGTACTTTCGTTCCCAGCCGTCTCTCATACAGGAACACACGCATACACATACAGGAGCTGGGAAGAAGGAGAAGCGCCTCAGGACCAGTAATAACATGTTTCAACCTGTTCTCCCCAGAAAAGTTTAATATAAACTGATCTTTATATTTTATATTTTTGTTCTATAAAATGATCATTTCTTCTTTTTTTCCACTTTTTCGTCTTTAATTATCACGTTGTCAATCAGTCATGTGGTAAGGAAAAGTACCCAAAAAGACTGAATGATGATCGTCCAAACCGTCTTTCGTTCAAAAAATCACCGCCCACAACTTTTCCATTTAAAGCAAACTTCTATTTAGTTTACTAATCCCCCCACTACCAAACAACACAACATGAGACTGTTTCTGCTCTTCTGCATCTTGTTTTCCGCTATCTCTCAGGGTAACTTCCCATCACTTCTTAATCATCATCAATTGTGACTCCATTTCAGCTTCATGTGAATCCCTACTGGATCGACTGTATGCTGCTGCCAAACCATCCCGTCCCAAACATGTTTATAGCATATATGACGGAGCTTTAGACCAACAACTCATTCTTCCACATCATACGGTATTTTCCATTTCTTCATTGAAAACAGAAAGGAGATAATGAAAAACAGATAGTATTTTTCAAAAGTTCCAAAAAATCTCATAAAGTTGATATGATGGGCAGAGGAATTTTGAAGTCTTCATCCTTCGCCTTTCTTAAACGAATGATTAATGACCCTAAAAATCATCGAGAAGTTGATAAGGATGAAAAAGAAACAAAAGACAACCTGAGTGGACGATGTCCAAACGTTTTACTCTTCATTTCGTTACAGATGTACGAAGTTGCGCGTTTCCGTGGAAAACCAATTATGGCTCGTCAGATGAACACGATCATTGATGAAAACGGCGTTCCAGTCCCTCTGTTGCCATTTGATGGAAGAAAGGCTTCGATACCTAATCACATCCATCTTTACTCCAAAATATAACCTGGACAAACGCCGTTCCCCGTGGAAGAAATCTTGATGAACTCTTGTTCGCTTGGAGCTTCAGGAACGTGAAGCTGACTGACGCTTGGAGATGTTTTCCTCCGAAAACCTACACTTAAGGAAGATTTCGAATAAACTCAACTGTTAGTCTTTGATGTTTGCCGCCTGAGCCCTTCCTATGCTAATGAATTGAACAATGGCACTTTTCTGTATAAAATATTTTATTTCCATAAGAAGAAAGATTAAAATTATAATTATTAATACTTATTAAGCTGTACTGTACATATATGGACATCACATAGTAATAGCCTAAATAGGACTTTCAAGTCTTTTGAGGAATTCAACAGACAGCGTTTAATAAGGAGAATATTTGGAACTGATTAACCCACAAGTTTTCAGCTAAAAATAGAATTTCTATTTCGTTTCTGCTTCTTTTCAAATGATAACAGGGAGTATTCAAACGAACGGCTAAGAGTAGAGAGACAGAAGGGGAAAGAATGGACAGGGAGAGAGAGGGAGAGAGAGAGGGGAAGAGAGATAGACGAAGATAGAGCCAAAGAGAAGTCAAAAAAACTGTCTGGACGATCACGTTGTGTTCGTCCATGGTGTCGGAGACTGAACACTCCTTACTAACTGAACGTATCCGATGAGAACAGAAATAATATTAAAGTTAAATAAGGTTTGAAGAATCAAAGCGAAAGAAGCATGTCACAAGCAAAAATTTTCCATTTGAACACTCAGTTCAATTTCATTTTCTTCTCTGGGGGTGAAAATGAAACAGATGACGAGGATGATGGACTAGTAGCGGATGCCATGGGGACATCTAAGAGAGATGAGATCTGAAATTCAGAAAATTACTAAAATCCCTTACAGTGACCATAAATTCCGTTAATGCTAATGAGATATAAGCATCATCATCATCATCGCTATGAGTGAAATTTCACACCTGCGACCAATCTGTCGCCTTGATCAAGCGCAGTCGGCAAATCTTTCAAAAGTGACACGAGTGCTAATACGTCTAAGATGTATAGTGGAACCCGGTAGGTATGACCATGGCCCTTCGGGTTATCGAGTGGATGATGCAACCTCATTAGCCAAATGGAATTTTTTTTTTAAAAAGAGGAAAGACAAAAGGACCGACAACGGATATACAGTAACCGATTGGATAAGAGTGCACTGTCATCTACCATGACATTTGGCACAAACTAAGTGTTCGTTAAGATTGTATAAGATGCACGCGAACGTATCTCCAATCGGTTTCGAAAATCAGTTGGCGTCGGATGAGGATGGCTAAGTTGAAAATGAAAAGACGTACCGAACAAGGTATTGAAGTATTCAAAGTTGATGGGGAATCATCCTCCTTCTTTATTTCCGGTGATCCAGTTGAGCCACTTTCATCGTTAGACTGAAGGAGAGACAGATTAGAAAAACAAAAAACGATTGTTCATGATAGAATCCAATTGAGGATTCTAATGTATTTATGAATTATAGCGTTTATGACCCGAATCAAATGCATAATTAAGGTCAGATATTTTGATTTTATGATGATATTTGTAAAATATATTGTTAACCATACATGTACGTACACGATAGATTTACAACCGTGTGATAGATATATGTATGTTGAACAAATACCACAAATCTTCCCTTTTGTGCAACTGACACGTAAAATGGCGTCATCAACCTAATCATATTCTTACCTGATGACTGAATGGAGTCAGACTATCTCGGATAGCACCAATTCCTCGTTTTACTGAAAACATATCATAGTATTACAGTTATAGTTTGCTGACTTCAGCTTCAGTTTCTGATAAGCCAGGATACTTACAAGCAATTCGTTTGAGATGATTTCCACGGATTCGGTTGAATTCTGATTCACGCTTCCGACGGATTGGATCCAGTTCAGCACACAAGATTTCTTCCTCATCAGCTTTGCTTTCTTTAGCACTGGAAATTATTGAATATAAGGAGTTTCAACTACTGCTCTCACCTTTCAATTGTGTTTTTCAAATTACTCTTCTCTTTCTCAACGTGACTGGCAAACTCATTTTCCTGGATCTTATCTCCACAAGCAGGACAGATAGGACAGCCATTATCATCCAATTGAAGTTCTGAAATTATTTTTAATTTCCCATGTATGATCAATGAGTGATGAAGTTTTTTTCATCGTGTTCGTTGAAATTTAGGTTCGTTCCGGGACATTTGACGCGCGAAGTACGCGGGAATTCAAAATATGCACGTGGTGCAATATTCATTTTTTAATTTGCATGAGCAGTGAACGGTTGTGTGAAGACTATACTCTTCGAGATTCTAAGATAATAGACCCCCGTTCATGTTGGTGTAGCAAGAATGTGTTAAATGGTAAGGTCATGATCGACTGTAAGATGCTAATTTTTACAATTATTTTGATAGGGAGGACTATTCATCGTTGCTGATCCTTTTATGAGGAGCAGAGGGATATTTGTAGTTGATGATTGTTTATTCAGTTTTATTAACCTATACTTGCCCTTTATGTTGCTACTTGTCTTCTAATAATCTCCTCTATATCTTTTTTATCCCTTTTATTAGAAATAGAGAAGATGTGTAGAGAAGTAGCCATAAAAAGAAAGCCGACAGAAGCGCTGAAACAATATCCTGACACCTCGTGCTGTGACTGTAAGACGAATTGATTAAACAAGTCAACAGATTCAGATGAATTAGAAGAGAACTAGAGAAATAAACAGACAACATATAGATACAACGCGAGATTTATAGCCTCATGTCTGACTGAGCTTTACGAGCCGAATATGGATAAACATGCTCATGTCGGCTTTTGTGAACAAGACGACGAAGACAAGATCTTTAATGGTTTTCTGACCAGCACCCACTGCTTTCATAATTGGCCATTATGAAGTTGAAAAGTGTGAGGAGAAATGGAAAAACCCCAAGTTATCCACACCTCCCTCTCCATTCACAGGACTTCGTTCTAGATTTTCGTCTCAAAACTAATCAATTTCCGGAAATAATTTGTTTCAAGTCTTCGAAAAACATTCACATGTACATCTAACTTTAGTCCTTCATATCAATCAACACTATCCACACTAGCCAAGTAACCTTGAAAGGAAATGATAGTTTTGTGTCCGTTTCTTTCCGCCGGCTTCGGTTTTTTTGACAGTCAATTCTGTTCTTTGTGTGTTCCTCCAATCATCTCACCATCCACCGTTGTCATCTATTCTCTCACGTATGCCATGCCAGAATGCAACTAAACGCCACCATAAGCCCCTTTGTCCTCTTTGCATTCAATTCAAATGTCTCCAAATATGGTTGGGAGAAGTTGATCAAATTGCAACCAACTTTACGGTTCTCTCAACGACAAATTAAATAAGATATTTCGGGGTGACAGAGCAAAATTAACGAATATTACGTCTTATTTTACAGCTTACAGCCAGATGTGCATGATGACAGAGGGTGATGGGTGGAAAAAACGGGATATCAGTCCCTCACTTCCTCTCTGTCTCTTCACAAGAGTCATTGGCTAGCTAGCCCAATGAACGCAATCATCTCTCATCTCTTTTGTTTTTTCAATTTATCACAACAAATCGACAATTAGTCGTCGGAATCTTTTGCAATCAAATACAAATCAAAAAGGAAATGATCATCTCTTAAGAGATGATTGTCTCTGAGGTTTATATTAGCAGATGACAAATGTACGCTCAAGATGCTAATCAGGCAGTTGGCAGTCCAGGTTGCTAATGGACACATCAAGATGAGTATGGCCATAAAATTCATTTGCTCTTTACACTATGCCGACAAACATTTATCATTTTAATTTAATAGCAAAACAGATTTCTGTGACTTGGCACCCACTGCCAAGACGCCCGTTTTTTAACCGGAAGCAGCCTGTTTTTTAGTCGAGACTGTGCCTTGAGTATTTCCTCTCTGATCGACCATTGTTCAGACTGCCAATTATAGAAATCGATGCGCTTATTGACTTTCTCACAAAACTTTAAATGACCATAATTGCTCAGTCTTTTTTTCTGGTCGAAGAGTAAAGACAATCCCTTGCAACACCTCATAGCTTTTGTTGGAATGCTATGGATGACATTTTGCTTCACTTTCTTGACTATAAAGAGAGAGAGAGGGATAGGAGGGGGGGAGGAAGATGAGTAAAAGCTTCTAATAGTGACTGAAAGAAGGAATGAGTGAAATACTGGGATTAAAAAGAGAATTAGAGAAGAAGTGTTTCGGCTTTAATATGGTACTTTAATCAGTAGGTTGTTTGTCTAGTAGCTTCACACATTTGCTTCCTCCATACACAACCATATATTGCTCGAAATGAAGCTTCCAAATGGTCCGCTTAGCGTCATAAATTCAGAATATCAAAAGCTAAATGATCAACACGAGCACTTTCGCTCTCACTTCCTTTCGAAAAAGAATCTCAAAGTTCAGAAAGAGAAACAACACATCACGATCTCATTACAATGCCGAAGATATAGGAGAATGAGTAGTGGGATCATACTGAAAGTACCACTGACCCCCCTTGTCTCTCATAATTCGGACGATTTTCGAAGAAAATTCTTTTTCTCCTTTCTCTGATCATATTTTAAAGAAAACTCTCAAGAGATCTCAAAATATTTTGTGTTAAACAATTTGTGCGACGAACTTCTTCTTTTTACTTTTGAGTTCGTCGTCTTGTGGGGCTAAGAAATCATTCGCTTAAAATGTCTGAAGCGCCGATTGAACTTCATTTTTCTTCAGGCTTTTCGCTTTTAACATGTCGTCGAACCTCGTCTCTCTCTGTCTCTTCTCTTCATCTTTCTTATTCTTTCCGAAAAAAGGAGAAGAAGAAGAAGTGAGAGAGAGAGGGTGGAGGAGAAGCTTAACGAAATATTTTTGCAAAAGAAATAACAAGATATAGAGACAACAATCATAATTCATTTCATATATGCTCCCAGTCCAGTAATAAAACACTCCTGACACTCGCTCAGAATCGCTCTGCCTTAATAGGAAACTTTTCATTTGAAATGAGCCGCCACAGCAAGTATGCCTACTTTCTATGCCCCCAGGGAATATTATGGCTTTAACGTCACAAGTCGAGCCAACTTTAACTAACGAACGTTCAAATGCTCATAAAGCTTGATAATATCTCCTGAATTCGTGGTCCCTCTCTCTCTCTCTCAGTCTCTCTGTCTCATGATTGCTTTGCTCATTTGATTCGTGATCAACTCATACCCATCACAGGGTTATATATGTAAAGGACAACAGACAGTGTCCTAATCCCAAAGTTTCAATGCAGATGTCAAAAGCCAACAAAACAGTCATACAATAGACAACTAATAAGGAAAGGAATGAAAAAAACGAAAATATTTAATGGCAGGTGGATGGAAAGGCATTGTTGTCCCTCCATATATGAAGAATTGTCTTTATTTTGTGACACTTTTTTATGTTTCCATTCATAAGTTTTATGAATTTGTAAAACATCTGGTGAAGATGGGAGGAAGAGAAGGACAACAAGGAAGTCATCCCCCACTTCACACGGTGCACAAAGAGATATGGAAAGTCATCACCTCCACTTTACATGGGATTTTGTCATGTCAGTATCGATATCGTCTTAACTCAAGTGGCTTCCAGCTTTGACAACTTCTGTCATCTGATGACAGGTGAATTTTAATCCATATTAGGTCATTCTTAAGGACATTTGAATGAACAAAGCACATGAAATGACGTAGTAGGTAGATGACAAGCATAGTCAAGTAGCTCATTTCCACTCTCCTAATATGGTTATTCCGCTTAATTAACCTTCATCAGGTGTTGTTAGTTGTTTTTCAGACACCTCAATCATGACTTCCTTCTATCATTTGACCCAAAAAAAAGAATGAAAAAAGACATTACGAATAATCGTTTATGAGCAAAGAGAATGAGGTTTTGAATCCTTTTCATTCAAATTCTCGTTCAGCAGCAGAAGCCATAGCATTTTCCCATGCTAACCATAAAACCCTACGAATCACAAAATATTCACTAATTATCCAAACAATCACACACAGGTGACCCACCGGCAGATGCACTACATCCTTTCACAACTCGAGCTATAAAACTTGGTGGAAATCCCTGTGAACTCTCCTTTCCTTTCTATCCCCATATCTCACCCCTATGGATGGAGTTCAACATATTTTACAATTCTTGGTGTAACTACCAGCCCCCTAACACTTCTTAGTTTCGTCCCAATTTGGCGTCAATTCGTCTGGTCCATACGTACACACATATTTCCGGTGTGTGTCGATGCGGCTCATCGCCTTCACGACCTCCGTACGCACTTCTTACAACACTTGCTTTATTTGCATTTTTCTCTTCATTTACTGTAATCCATCAGCAACTAGTTGAACAAGAGACCAACTATCTGCCTCTACCGTAATCTGACCGAGCCTCGGAATGCCGAAAACGGGTTTCAACCTCGGGTGCCAGCATCATTACCACCCCCATCATCATAACTCATTATTGAGACATCAAATCGTTAATGATTATGGAAGCTTATTCAGAAAGTTTTTCTCTGAGACAGCTATGAGATACAGGATATGTAAAAACGGTTTGAAACGAACAACACGAGGTATCGCCCAACAAGACATCCTTGAAAGAGCTTTAATTACCAATGTTAGCCTTTGTATTACAATAGACGACAAGTTGTACTGATTGGAAAATGATGAACAAACGTCTTCACACATTCATAAAACTAGCAGAGAATGAAGAAATACAACCCTACAATCATCTTCATTCTCGATTGTTTACCGGAACCATAAAACCATATTCTCAGGCTGTTTGAGTCATGTTTTATAATTGACGGATTAGCAGATGGACATCTTGCTGCTGCCTTATATGGTCGCACAGAAATGTGTAAAAAAATGAACGAGAGGCTTCAAATGAACAGAAGAACAGTCGGAAATGAATGAATAATGACCAGCAATAAAGAAAAATCACAAAAAAGCAATTAGTTACAATTTGAACATCGAGTTAAAGCTGCGGCTGTCAAGGTTCTCCCGCTGACAAGAGGATTAACATAAGCGAAGAGAAAATGAAGAATACGATCCTTCTTTTCTACTTCACTCACTACACTCCTTCCACACAGTTGAAACCAACAACGAGTCTAACTTTGAGAAATGCGGGGCCACTGTTATCAAATCTCTCATTCAAAATTATCTTTCTTCTTTCAAAAGAGCATACTCTGTGATTCAACCATCAACTGTCATTTCCCACGATTCATCAAGACAATCACTATTTTGCAATGAACGGTAACAGCAGGAGACACAAGAAAAAGAGAAAACGGTACATAGACGGAACGCTCACTTATACATTGGCTTATGTTTGACAAATTGACAAAACTGATTGACGAAAGGACACAACTTGTTCGTTTTTTGAGTTCTTGGGAAAATGTTTCAAATTACTTCGTAAAAGAACTTTTTTTCAAACCCTTTGTTGCTTCTGTAATTAGCCTACTGACTATAATGCCGACGCGTACGTGAACATATACGTGGCAACAGTGCAAACGCGCGCGCTCACACAGACACATTTCATTTTGTAAGCAAATGACTGTGATGAGCGGTTGCATTCAAATGTATTATCTCTTCTCCAAATCAAATCATACGAGAGTCTTTCCAACTTTTTCATCTTCTCTTTACAACATATGAAATGTATACAAGAAGGAAATTTACATAAGCAAGTCTTCAACTTCCATTCTTCTTTCTAACATTTAAGAAAGAACATTGTCTTTATGAATAATTTCATGGTTTGATGATGTAAGAAGTTTGGAACGAAAACTCTCGTACACTTCACCAATAGAGCCATTTCAGACCTTTTTGTTTTTCTTTTCACTCACTTCTTTCTCTCCTTTTTTGCTAAAAGAAAGACGAAAGGAAGCAAAGGGAGAGAGAGAGAGAGTGAGAGGTATTGAAGGAGAGATGTGGTGATATTAGTCAGTTTAACAGTCAAAACATATACGTGTTCAGCAAAAGCCACAAAAAAGGAAAAAAAGGAAGAAACAAGAGTCTTTCGTTTCACTACCCCCCTCCCCAATCAGATTTTCATATTGGTATCATATCATTTGAAAGAAACTAACTTTTTGTGGATGGAGAGTCGGCTCCTGATGATGCTCTGTCTGATAGTCCTGGTGATAATTCTGGAAAATAGATGTTCATGTTTGCCAAGTGTATTGAGATGGTACCTTGTCCCAAACAGTTTGGACTTTGTTGAGGTTGAGAGTGTTGTTGAAGTTGGAGTAACTGATGTTGAAGTAGAGTTGCGTACATTTGTTGGACACCTAAAGTTTTTGTCCATCAGTCTTCTTCCTATTATCATAGCTATTCAAACCAAATATGGGCATGGGTGGAAATAATGTTGATGGCGATGATGCTGGGACGCATAATTGGAATGGAAAACCAGCTGGCATTCGTTGAACTTTGTCAGCTTCCATTACACGACGGTTCTTAATATGCAAAATGTTTGTTCAAATTAAAATAAAAAAACATTGAAAAACGAATAAATCAATACAATCAGTTGAACAGATAGATGGAATATCTACAATTCCCACACAAAAGTATGAGATGATGGACTGTGCGTGTCTTCTCTCTTCTCCTCCCCTTTTAGCTTCCCCCACCCCCAAATGCTACAAATGCCATGAACTCTCCTCCCACTTCTTCCTAGTCTTTTAGGAGACTCTCTTCTCTCACACCATTTACTCTCTCGTTGCATACCACTGTAACAGAAATATTCCGTTAAGAGAGAAAAGAGAATGAAGGAGGAAGAAGAAGAGGAGAGAATGAGAGAGGAACTGAATCTCTCATATCATTCTTCATGTTGCTTTTCGACTCTTGGAAATAAAACTTCTCGATGAAGAAGCCAATAAAGCTCAGGCTCCGTTAAGTCAATTTTGATGAAAAGAGGAAAGACATAAAACTAGCGATACAAGCGAAAGCTGGAACTTGCGAAGGCTGACGTCAGAGGAACAGGAGAGAACGGAATACGGTAGGAGCAATTAAAATAATGAAGTGAAAAGAATTAATAAGATGAGGAAGGTCTACCGTTTTTGTAGAAAAGAAATTCTTCATAATCAAAGAATGGGTTCAAAAAGAGGAAAGAAATGATGAAACAGGGAGGATAGTAGGAAGAGGACTACGAGTCAGAAGACCAAAAAAGATGTGTTAGCAGATGAAAAAGATTAACGCACAGAGAGAGAGAGAGAGAGGGGAGGTGTACGAAAGGAGATGATGGAACAAGCTATAGCGAAATAAAGACAAAACAGAAGTTAATAATTCAATTATGAGAAATGAAATTGTTGTGACGATATAGAGTAAGAGGAGGAGGTTTAATTCCAGTGAAATACAGTTGGCTCTTGGCGTTCCTTCTCACTGTGGTTGCTGATGAGAAGACGATAAAACTAAAAGTTTAGTGGGAGGAATATAAGATGAAATAAAAAAATAATGGAGGAGAAGGTGTGGAAATGATAGGAGACAAACATCTTCATTTTGGGGTTGGACCAACTTAAAATAAGAGAGTAGGGAAGAGGTAGAGAGAAAAAGAGAGAGAAAGAGAGATGGTTGTAGAGAATCTCATAACATCCATCGTTGTCGTCGCTCTCTTATTCTTTCTCTCTCAATATTGTTAGTGTCTGTTATGTTTTTTTAATACAGAAAGAATGATATTTGAGGGTTTACTAAGGCAAAGCCACTTAACACAACATCAGCTCTTAACTAAATGTCATTGACAATCTCATTCGAATGAACAGAGAAAGAGAGAGAGAAAGACTGGGAAGAGGAAGAATGAAGAGACGATATGCATGATTATCTTTCTAACATATAAGGCATCTCCTATCACGTCTTTCTATTCAAAACAGAAAACAGTAGAATACCCATAGTAGTTATGAACGAAGGAATGGAAGAGCAAAGAATGAATTCAATTGTAACAGAATCGCCAAAATTGAAATGATTTTCATATTGAGATGAGTAAGATTCGGTCGATGACTGACGAACACGGAAAGTTTACTTCGTTATTTTCTCCTCCGAAACTTCTCCATAAAAGTAAAATTGATGGAAATATCAGGAAAAAGGGAGGAAGAAGAGAATTTAAAACAACTGTAATGTTGTTATAATTAATCAAACATCTCTCCTACTTTCCTCTTCACAAATCACAAAATATTAAAAAGACAGAGTTCAATAATCAGTCACAGTTACCGTATTCCTATATAAGGAATTAAAAAATTCAACCTTCTTACTATTCCATAAAAGATTGGACTAGCCAGAGAGAGAGGGAGAAAAATGAAGTAAGAGGGAGGAACTCAACTATCTGCTCTCCTTCTTCATATTTTGTATCCTAAACTCTCTCACCCTATAGTACTGTCTGATCGCTTTCGTTTCAAGACACGCCCATAAGTTAACTAGTATAGGAGGCGGAGCTTACAAAGGCAGTCGTGTCATTGGCTGGCTGATTGAGGAAAATTAACGTTTCAAAGCAGAGACGGAAGACAAAAAAAGTTTTTTAAACGAATATATTAACGAAATAAAATGAGAATGAATGAACAGAATGCAACCGCACTTGATGAGAAATTGAACTACAAATGAAAAGTTGCGTCGACGTGAAAATTACCGTGAGCGTTTGGAAGGGACATTTGAACGTAAACTATCACGTGGCAGGTTTACGTGCACGTGGAGAGTCCATGAGATCATTATGCTAATGTAACACTTCACATGCAAGGTGAAGAAAGAATTGTCGGCTGACATGATACAGCCACAAGAAGATCTCAAGAGGTTCAAAGATGATGCAAAGCATGTACAAGACGATATCTTGAGTGGCTTGCAGATGAAAAAAAGTAGAAGAGAAACCGAATGATTTCTTTGACGTAATAATGTTAATGAAGAAGGTGTTCATTCGTTTGATGAATTTGAATAATCGGCGAACATCAAAGAGACAGTTAAAAGTTTGGAATTAATTATCTATGAGATTGTATCAACAGATATAATACATATTCATAAGGTAACGAAAACATCTCAGAGATCAACAGAAGAGTGTTATGATGGAATGGGAGAGAAACACAAAGTAGCAAAAGAAGTTTGTGAGTATGCATGGGTGTGTGTGTGAGCGGGCGGAAGAAGCCTACGTCTGAGGTTATTTTAAGATGGAGAGGCAACAAAGGGAAAGTTCAATCAAAACACCACAGTTATATTCCGCAATTCACACTCAAATAATTAAAGAAGAAAACAGAACAAAAAAATGTTTTGCGGTAAAGAGGAAAAGAACAACTTTTTGCGAGTGGCGGTCGTAGCAAGCAAGCAAGCAAACTCATTTGGTACATGGTGGATTATGCCGATGTTATGAGAAAAAGAGAATCTTTGTGTGGCGGATTGTCAGCAACAGGAGGAGGTTCAACTGAATGGCTCGTTGTCGTTCATCTTCATGTTGGTTTCGGTACATTGACGGTTGGATAAATAGCCAAGACAACGGGATGTTTTTCCATATAAAAACTTAATTTTCCTTTGATCGTCAGTATGGTCAAGTTGATTGGTTGCAGTCGGAAGAGGAAATTCTTTTTTGAAGGTTGTATGAATATGAGAGACGAAAGACTTGGGGCCACATGGGAGGTGCGCGAATTTCATGAGCTGAGTGTTTTGTAATCAAAAAGCAATAGGTTCTTTCATAGTTCTGATGAAAAGCTTCAATATGTATTTGCGGCAAATAGATGGAATACGTTCATGTAAAAGAACATAAATTGGCTCATGGGTTCTTTCAAAGAAATCCATGGAACAAACTAAAGCCGCTCTCTTCGTGAGTCAGGTATAGCCGGAGAAAGGACGGTAAAGTCAAATGTATGAAATGATATTTATTCAGATGGGATATGACGAACTTTACTCCAGAACATAATAGAAATGACAAGAAAAGGCAAATGAACGAACACATAAAGGATCCCCCTCCCTTTTTTCTTTGTAATCTCATGGTAACAAGCTGGATGCGGCAGATCAAAGAAGTTACGAAAATATAGCATTTACTTGCAGCGATTTCACAAAGAAGCTGATCAGTTTCATAGTTTCTGTCCATCTTTTTTCTTCTTCGCGAATATTTTCATTTCAAAAAGAAACATTATTGAATGACTTTCTGGCTAAACAGAAACAAAACAACAGAAGGTTGATGATGGAGAATGCTTTGGAAACACTCATCGCTCGAGCTTTAAAATGAACGAAAATACTTCGATAAACGACATAGCCATCCAAAACAACCGTTCCTCGCTACTGACAACCCGCAAATAACTATTTGGCTGATCTTCGCGGATGATGATGCTCCCAAAAATTAGAATACGTGCAAATTATCAAGTGAGAGCGCGCACATCAAAAAATGCGCGCGAAAACCAAGCTCTACGAACAGGTATTGACTGTAGATAACTTCGGGGACTAAATTATCTGTCAACATTCCATATACGGTATAGTATAATGAAATAGGGAAAAATATGTATATCAGCTGGGCCAAACTAGTTAACGATATGCTTCAGCGGCTAACTACTATCTGAAGATTCTATCCTTGATGCGAATCAGAAAGAGATAGACGAAAAGAGGTGAGGGAGAAGTCCAATGTGAACCAGTTGATTCAACCAATAAAAATTGGTTGTGTGGCCATTTTTGAGTCTGAGAATACGTGAAAACAGCCATAAATGAGGATGGCTCATCAAGCTTAAAGCCAAGTAGTATTTCGTATGTAATCACTCGTAGTACTAACCTTGGCTTCTGTTGATTAATTGACGTTTGAATTTGAATGTGTATGTTTACTCGATAACGCTTGTTTTTGTTTCTTTTCTATTTGAAGCTTTTTGGAGCAAGAGAAACGTGGCTGGCTTTAATTGCTTTTGTCAACTTTTAAGCTCTCTACGAGCTATTTCAGGACCAACTTGATACACAAATGATTTTATATGGATGGGAGTTAAGAACACTTACTGCCTCAAACGATGTTTGTTAACTTCTCTGAATGGAATAGACACCGTAAACTGAATTTGACGACCATCTTGCTTGCAAATAATTCTTTTGTGATGTTTCAAATGTTCCGAAAATCAGATGTCGTCGTTTTCGTCTCAATGATGCAAAAGATCTTTCATCCTGACTCTCTTTTGATTTCGTAAGTATATCTGCTACATCAACATCATTATCATTTCTGACTTGAGTTACATCAATGATATGAATCACTGACGATGACTGCCGACCACTTTCGATTATCAAAAAGCTTTTTAACATTTCGTTCTCTCTAACTCCCTCTCTCCTCCTCTCCTTTCCTCCTCACTCTCGCTATCTTCCATTCGAGCTGATAGAAGACGAGTTCTTGTCTCTCTTGCCGACCATCTTATTTTAAATACAAAGGTAATGAGAGATTTGAAGTCCAAATGTCCTGAGAACCAACAACAACGACAACGAACATGACGATATTCAAACGATGATGGACAGGAATGAGAACGATAGACATCCAGTAAAATCACCTTCACACATTTCAAAGCATCAATTAAGATGAGATTGGGGTATGAGAAGAAATATAATCGCCTAAATTGGTCATCAGACTGTTTAGATGAACGGCATATTCCAATAAAATGTGTCTCGTTATGATAACAAAATAATAGATGGCTGAAGAGAATGTGAGATGATGTCGTAGAAGGTGAAAGAAGGAATGATTTTACCTAGGCTCTGCCCTGTTCCTTCTCGTTTGTCCTCAATCAATTGACTCACACGGCCAGTCAGAACATATCATTTACATTTGAATAAAAAGAACATTCAAACGAGTCTAGAAAGATGGTATTTAACATTTCAAGTCACAAATTTCCTATTGATAGTCCAGGTAATTTCATCTAATGTATTCCTAAGTAACTCTGAGAAATTCTCAAGAAATTCAACCACAATTCCCCCATCCATACACTTACCGCGCGGCAACAGTAAGTTCTTTGTCTTTCGAATAGCCTTTATGTCTCTTGCATCTACTATTGCACAGGAGGACATGTTTACAGTGAAACACATCCGTCCAGAAGATTTTCAGAAAGTAATTCTCAACTAAACGATTAGATTACATAGGTCTTTTTTCGTAAGCCACTTGTCAAACAGTAAGAGGAACCTATCGAATCATCATGTCGTTCATCTATTCTTTTTCCATGAAAGTCTTCCCAAACCTTTCTAAACTGCAATATTTGCCCAATTCATGTGCTGTATGGTTGCCTCATAAATTGGTTCTTGTTCCTCCTCTTCTTCTCCAAATTCTTATTTTCCTTTTTTCTTTTCGAAGGTTGATAGTCAAACATGTGGGACACAACTCTTTCATACTCAATCTACAACAAAAATATTTCATTTCATATCCTTTCAAATATTGAGCTTCAACAATCATATACCAACAGTCTGCGAGTATATTGAGAAAGTTCACGAACAAGTTATGACGATTTCACAACATGGTTCACTCGTTGTCCAGCTAAACAGTCATATCTTTAAAGTCAAATTGAGTACTACTAACCCGAAGGCATCAAATCCATACGGGGCTGGAACGGTAAAGACGACAACATTCTGTTCAGAGCAGAGAAATTATTCACTTTTCTTGCTGAACAAAAATAAATGAATGACCAAGTAAGGATATGACTCACGATGAACTGTATGACCGAAAAAATTCGGTACGGCGAAACAGTTAGCAATCAATAACACAAACATAGCTGATATTCTCAAGAATCGCATAGTCTCGCTATATCTGAAACAAAAGTTCGATGAATATAGAAATGACTTAAACTTGACTTACCTATTGAAGTTCTAAGAAGGATCAAAACAACTAAGAAAGCTGTATGAGCGTTTGTTCTCAGCGAAAAAGGTATTCTGAAAGCAAAGAGATATAAAGAGCTCTTCATTCGTCTTTATTTAATCTCAACGATCTTCATTTGACAGCTCATCGGAAGCTTCATTTCAATACACACGAATGGAAGTTATAGTCACCTGAATAACACGGGATTCATTGAGATCATCTTCTCGTTCGTCCGCTACTACCACTTGATTTCATTTCTTCGTTGACACCAACTATCAAAGCTATACCTTTAGCTGAAAATAAAAAAATAAAGTAATTCGTAAAGATAGCACAACGGAACGCAAGAGCTTGAGCTAAGAACAACCGGCAAAATTATTAACCAGTTTAAAATGAAACTTGCAAATGACGTGTTTTACGTGGTAACGTGAAACTCACGTGAGGTTATGTTAATGAGCAACAGTTAAACCAGAGACGCCTTGCAGAAAAAACGGAAATGCTCTTTCAGGCGGCCGCATGTAATTTTTTTTTTCATTAAAGTTTTCAAAACTGTAATTCAGTCATCTGCACAACTTCTTCCCTTCTAATACTCAACCTCATCCTTCTTCTGTGTAAGAAATCAAATACGACTAAGGCTACAAAAACTGAGAGTGTTTGTTTTGAAATCTTTTTCACTGTTAAATGTGACTTTAAGGATTTGACAATAAGGTCAACTGATGACATGAATTCAAATAAACAGTCGGAGTGTTATAGTCCAATGCCTAAGGTTGGTTTAAGAGTTACACTCCGTTCAACATGCCATTCAAAAGATTTCTATGTCTTTCACAAATATCGATGGTGAGCCTTCCATTGATGATCTCTACCGGCGACTGGAACTATCAACTTCGTCCTCAGTCAATCTGCTTAGCGCAAGATCAGAAGATCTATTTTCGAAATCAGAACTCAACCTTGTGAATTGAAATTGAACACTCATGAATATGACTTGTTGTAATCATCTCACCGGATTTCGCCAAACATAAACATCCTGCTAACAATCCAAGCAGATTGATTGAACGCTCTTTACATGAACAATGAACTCGACTTCCATGATGGAGATATGATCGACGAAACGTACGTTACATTATGCGAGGTACGTAAAAACGAATTTTATGGATCGAAAACAATTAACAACTAACATTCAAAAGTATAACAACAAGAGTCAATAACGAAGTTTAGTTAGAAGCGGCGCTGATCTTCTCGAGTAATCTCTTTCTCTTCTTCTTGATCATCTTAGCTCCACATCGAGCTGCTGCACGTTTGCCAACTTTGATCT